GCCTTTTTCTTCTCCCCGGGAGTTTTAGAGAAACCTGTTAGCAAACTGAGAAGCTTGATGGAGTGAACTATGTTATGATAGCCATTATTGCGAGGGCAGAGGCAATACAACATGAAGAGGTTGCTTGAGTTCCCAGGCCGATTAATGGTCCTGCCATGTCTCGGTTCTCCATACAGACTGGTGGGTTAGACTAAAAGACTAAAAGTCATAGGAATATACACGATTGTGGTAGACATTACTGGCTGGCTAACCTAGCATCCATGCCTGACTCTTCTCTCCCTATCCCGGTCACAGGACCTACGCAAGCACAGTGCTCGTTTTCCCAGGAATGGTGGCCTCATGAGAGCCTGAAGCCTGCTGGCACCCGCGGAGAAGCCTCTTGCTCTCTTGATGAAAGGGACAGACACAGCTGATGGTGCTCTAGCTTCCTTGGTCCCCTTTTGAATGTAGACAAGATGCCTGGAGCTACGGCTGTCAACTCGGGTCCACGAGGCTAAAGCTAAGAAAATTAGAAGAGACAGTCCTGACACCATGGAGCTGCATACCTCCAGGATTCTTTGCACGTGAGGAAAGCAAAGCCTATTTGCTGCAGTCACTGGGAATCTAGTTAGTTGTTACTTCCAGAGGAGTGAGCTTCTCAGAGATCTAACTGCCGATAAATATTAGGCTCTTTCGAAGTTGCTCAAACCTACAGAGATTTTCTATGATATTTGCAGGAATTTTTTTTTTTTTTGACAGGCAGAGTTAGTGAGAGAGGGAGAGAGAGAGACAGAGAGAAAGGTCTTCCTTTTTCCATTGGTTCACCACTGCAAGTGGCTGCTACAGTTGGCTGCTGCACCGATCCGAAGCCAGGAGCCAGGTGCCTCCTCCTGGTCTCCCATGGGGTGCAGGGCCCAAGCACTTGGGCCATCCTCCACTGCCTTCCCAAGCCACAGCAGAGAGCTGGACTGGAAGAGGAGCAACTGGGACAGAATCCGGCACCCCAACCGGGACTAGAACCCGGGGTGCCGGCACCACAGGCGGAGGATTAGCCTAGTGAGCCGCGGCGCCAGCCTGGAATTCTAAACTGGTGAGAATCTATCCTCAGTTTGGTGGGTCTGTAAATCCTGTGATTCAGCAAGAGACACAAGGTGTGGCTGATATCACCCCACAAACCATGCCGCAGGAAATAGGGCAGTAAAGTGTGATGTTTCCATAAACGTATACAACGTATACTAAGCAAATCAGGGTGATGGACATTTCCTTCTTCTGGTCTTTTTTTTTTTTTTTTTAAGATTGATTTTATTTATTTCAAAGGCAAAGTTAGATAGAGAGAAAGAAAGAGAGAGAGAAAGAGAGAGAGAGAATTCTTCCATCCACTGGTTCACTCCCCGAAAGGCTGCAACAGCTGGGAGGGGTCAGGCTGAACCCAGGAGCCAGGATTTTCATCCAGGTCTCCCATGTGGGTACAGGGGCCCAAGCTCTTGGGTCCTCCTCTATTGCCTTCCCAGGCACATCAGCAGGGAGCTGGATCAGAAGTGGAGCAGCTGGGACTTGAAGTAGCGCCCATATCGGATGCTGGCGCAGCAGGAGGTGGCCGAACCCGCTGCATCCCAACACTGGCCCCTCTCCTTGTTTCTTTTTGTTTGAAGCATTCATGGTCAGAGTTTTTGTTGTTTTATTTTTTGAAGATTTATTTATTCAGAAGGCAGAGTGACAGAGAGAGAGAGAGAGAGAGTCTTCCATCCACTGGTTCACTCACCAAATGCCTGCAACAGCCAAGGCTGGGCCAGGCTGAAGCTAGGAACCAGGAACTCTACCCTTGTCTCCCACATGCGTGGTAGGGGCTCAACCATTTTTGGGCCATCATCTGCTGCCTTCCCAGGCGCATTAGCAGAGAGCTGGATTAGAAGTGGAGCAGCTGAAAGGGCTGGCGCTGTGGGGCAGCAGGTTAAAGCCCTGGCCTGTAGCACCGGCATCCCATATAAGCGCCAATTTGAGTTCAGGCTGCTCCACTTCCAATCCAGCTCTCTGCTATGGCCTGGGAAAACAGTAGAAGATGGCCCAGGTCCTTGGGCCCCTGCACCACTCCAGGTGGGAGACCCAGAAAAAGCTCCTGGCTTCAGATCAGCTCAGCTCTGGCCTTTGTGATCATTTGGAGAGTGAACCAGTGGATGGAAGACCTCTCTCTCTCTCTCTTTCTCTCTCTGGCTCTACTTTTCTCTGTAACTCTGTCTTTCAAATAAATAAAATAAACCTTAAAAAAAAAAAAAGTGGAGCAGCTGGGCCTGGAACGGGCACTCAGATGTGGGATGCCAGCGCCACAAGTGGCGGCTTAACCTGCTGCACCACAACACCAGCCCTGGTGCTCAGAATTTTTAAGTGCAAATCATAGAGCCTAACTCTGGCCAATGGATGCAGCAAAAGTCTTTACTAACAAGATATTGAAAAAGGAAAAAAAGCTGAGTAGTGTAAAGAATTCTGGGGATAGGCAGAGAGGCAGGATTAGCAACAAACTGTGCAAAGAGGCAGCTTAAAAATCACACTGAAGGGGGCCAGTGCTGTGGCGTAGCAGGTAAAGCATATGGGGTGCCGGTTCTAGCGCTGGCTGTTCCACTTCTGATTGAGCTCCCTGCTCACGGCCTGGGAAAAGCAGCGGAAGACTGCTCAAGTGTTTGGGCCCCTGCTACCCATGTGGGAGAACTGATAAAGCTCCTGGCTCTTGGCTTCAGCTTGGCCTGGCCCAGCTCTGCCCATCTGGGCAGTGAATGAGTGGATGGAGGCCCGTGTGAGCTCTCTCTCTCTCTGGGTTTCCATCTCTCAGACTGTCAAATAAATTAATTAATCTTAAAAAAGAATCACACTGAACATCTGATCTATTCCCATTGCTGGGCCAGATCTTGATGCTGGTGTGGCTGACACTACTGATGATGAATTCTTACCAGAACGGATTTAGAATGATCTTTCCAGGGCCTGGACTAAGGTGAGGTGAACAGGTAAGCAAGAACCTCACCTTGGGTACAAGATTTAAGAGGGCAGCAAAAAGCTTAATAATCAAGATGAATATTTTAATGTAATACATATTTTAAAGATTATTTATTTGAAAGGCAGAATAACAGAGAGAGATCTTCCATCTGCTGGTTCACTTCCCAAATAGCCTCAACGGCCAGAGCTGGGTAAGGCAGAAGCCAGGAGCCTAGAACTCCATCCACGTCCCGGCCCAAGCACTAGGGCTGTTCTCTGCTGCAGCTTGGGCCCTGCCACCCATGTGGGAGACCTGGATGAAGCTCCTGGCTCCTGCCTTTGGCCTGGCCCAGCCCTGACCACTGTGACTATTTGGGGAGTGGACCAGTAGATGGAAGATCTCTCTAGCTCTCTCTCCCTCTTTAACTCTGCCTTTCAAATATCAACATAAGTAAAAAAAAATTGTTAAAGAAAACACAAACAGGCTGGCGCTGCAGCTCAATAGGCTAATCCTCCACCTGCAGCGCCGGCACACTGGGTTCTAGTCCCAGTCGGGGCACTGGATTCTGTCCCGGTTGCTCCTCTTCCAGTCCAGCTCTTTGCTGTGGCCTGGGAGTGCAGTGGCGGATGGCCCAAGTGCTTGGGCCCTGCACCCGCATGGGAGACCTGGAGAAGCACCTGGCTCCTGGCTTTGGATCAGCGCAGTGCACCGGCCCCAGCGCACCGGCCACAGCAGCCATTGGAGGCTGAACCAACGGCAAAAGGAAGACCTTTCTCTCTCTCTCTCTCTCTCTCTCACTGTCCACTCTGCCTGTAAAAAAAATAAATAAATAAAAAATAAAATAAAATAAAATAAAGAAAGAAAACACAAACAAGAAAGTGAATGAGTAGGAGCATGTTTCTTTGGTTCTCTAGGAAGCCCCTTGGAAGGCAGGCAGGAACAATGTCTTATGCATCTAATTCCAGGGACCTGACACTTTGTAGTTGGGAGCAATTTGCTCCATTTTGAAGCAATAAGGGCCCAAGGGCTAGTAAACTTGGGACCTCTACCCAAAAAGTGGAATAGGCTAAGTGGTTGGGTAGCTTTGGAAAACAGATTCTCTGTTTGCATTGGGATGCCCTCCAGGTAGCCAATGCCCAAACCTAGCAGTGCTCACCTGGTCCCAGGTAAGAAGTGTTAATCCTGGGGCCAGCTCTGTGACATAGTGGGCTAAGCCTCCACCTACGGCACTGGCATCTCATGTGGGTGCTAGTTCAAGTCCTGGCTGCTCCTCCTCCTATCCATCTCTCTGCTTATGGCCTGAGAAAGCAGTGGAAGATGGCCCAATTGCTTGGGACTCTGCATCCACATAGGAGACCTGGAAGCAGCTCCTGGCTCCTGCCTTTGGATTGGCTGAGCTCCAGCTGTTGTGGCCATTTGGTGAGTGAATCAGCGAATGGAAGACCTTTCTCTCTGTAACTCTACCTCTCGAACTAATAAATAACATCTTTAAAAGAAAATAAAAAAGAAGCATTAATCCTTACTGGAACAAAGAGTAGGTGGGGTGGAGGGCTCCATCAAGCCTATGACTACAATGATGGAAAATCAGGAAGGGTGGAGAAACCATACAAATGATTCAATTTCATAGAACACACACACACCCGAAAACAGTGCACGCCAAACTGGTTAAATCCGAGCAAAGTCTGTAATCTAATTAACCGCATTGCTTCAGTTAACTGATTTGTGCTAATGTCAATTTCCTGGTTTTGATAACGCTGAAGCTTATATAAAGACCTAAGGGGGGCAAGTGGGCATGGGTATAGGGCACTTCTCTGTACTAATTTTGCAACAGCTTGTGAGTCCATAATTATTTCAAAATAATCTGTAAAAACAAAGCAAGGGGAACTTCCCCCTAGCCCAGCCCCGCCCCAGGCCCGGCCCACCTCGACACCACCCCACAGCCCAGCAGCCCGGCCCCACCCGCTCCTCGATCGCCCGGGGCCCGAGGGGAGGGGCGTGGCGCATGGGGGGCGTGGCTACGCACGCGCAGTTCCGCCGTCTCGGCGCCGCCGCTGGCGAGTCGCGCACGCGCAGTCCCGGCCCCGGGCCGCCACTCCAGCCCCTCTCCGCTGCCGGGGGGACCCGGTTACCTTGGCCCCTTCGCGCTGCCGTCTTTTCCGGCAGTTGGGGAGTTTCCTGTAGTCCTCACCCGCAACCGCTTCTCGGCCGCTACCTCAGAGCCCCTCACGCGTCCGCGCCCCTCTGCTGGCAGCTGGCTGCCGCCGCCGGGGCTTCGCCTGTCTGCACGTCGAGACCGCTGGCCGGGCGGGCGTCTGCGGCTGTCCGCCGCCCACAGCCCTGCCTCCCCCGGGGCTCTGGTGAGTGTCTCGCTGCCGCTGTCTCCACTCCGTCCCCGGTTTCCCCCTCATCTCTTGTTTCCCCGACTCCTGGGGCTGCCCCTCTCTCTGGCTGGCGCCCCCCTCCTAGCCTCGTCCCCTCTCGGCCCTCGGCCCCTCTCCCCAGCCTCCTGTCAGCCCCCTGGGGCCCCGGCTCCCAGGCTCCGGGTTGGCCCTCTCCTACATTCCCCCGGTGCCAGCCTCCCCGCCCCGTCCTTTCTCTGTGTGTGTGCAGCTGGGGCGGGGAGCCAGGCTCTCCTCTCCGTGTCGCCAGCTTTGTCTGCTCGCTGCCAGCAGGCAGTCCCCGTCGGGATCCTGGTCATCGTCCGTTTTCCTTTATCTGGGTCTGAGAACGCGAGGGCTGTTGTCTGAGGGTCGGAGGTGCCCGCAGCCCAGCGTGGGGTGTGTGCTGCGTTTGCGTCTCCCCTTCCCCGCCGTGGTGGCCGGGCTTAGGGTCCTGGGCTGCAGGTCGTCTTAAACTCACAGGAGTGGGAAAGACATAGAGCGGGGGTGGGGGGTAGGAAAAAGTCGCTCGGGACCAGGAGGCAAGCTGGCACAAAGCCTGCAGGACGTCTGGGAACGCGTCCCAGCGGCACAACGGAACGACTCAAAGAAGCGTTCTTTTTGCCATCCCCAGAGGAAGACTGGGGGCGAAGTAGGCCCTGTGCCTCCTCTCCCTAGCAGCCCGCCTTGGCTCCAAGCTAGCCAGCCGTTAGGTGCGGGTTTCCTGAAACATAAAATAATCACCGCCGCAGTAACAGGCTGCCCTCCCCGCCCAAACGGTAGACAGCAGCTTCCTGGTGAGGGAGAACTCTACCCTCCCGGGCGGTACAGAGGGCCAGGGCACGGCCCGACCCTGCCCCCATCGCACCGGGGAGGACGCCAACCAGGAGCGTAGTCTTGGTTAATCTTTCCCAGGAAGAACATTAGAGCGGGTTGTAAGACGTGCTGCCTGCTTCCAGTGGCTTGCAGTTGAGTGGGAGAGATGGGGCTCTTACGGAGTAGACTAGGTCTCAAGGTTGAATTGCCCAAATGGAAGATAGCTGGGTTGGCAGTCACAAAGGCATGAGCTATTGGTGAGAGACAAGAGGATTTTTTTTTTTTTTTTTTTTTTTTTTTTAGACAGAGTACCGTTGTAAAGTCAGTCATCCAGGCCTGACTGTCTAGATGAATAAAATAATGGTTTTCCTTTGCGATCCTTAGCCCTGACTTTTTGGAGTATCACATCCTTTTGTTAATTTAAAAAAACCTTCTAAGAAGGTCTCACCTACCTATTGTTTCTAATTCTGCAGGATTTAAGGAGAATGAAACAGGGCAGTGGGCCTCCAACGGCTTGTAGGTCAGAACAGGAAAGCTTGAATTATCAAAAGCACGAGAGAAAATCTTGTCTCACAAAAGCACATGGGTGTCGCAGTGAACCCATGAATTGCTAGAGGGCCGTGTTAACCGTGTCTTTTGATGAAAGGTCATTAGGGTTTGAGGAAAGGTCAAAGGGGAGGGCAGTGCGACCTTTACCATTGCGTTAGAGACCGCGTGTGGAAGCCAAGAGCCTGGCCCATTGTGGCATCTTTAGTGCGCTTACTGCCCTGTTGATCTTTTTAAGCAGCAGCTTGGAAGGTAATGCTTGTGATTTTAAACGAGTCAAAACTTCTTTTTCCCCCAAGTTTTTTATATGCCCATCGGTGTAAATGTACTCTGTACTTTAGCTTTGTTGACAACTAAAAATCACGAACTTACCCAGCTTGCATTTATCAGTCGCCTATCATAAGGCCTGTGTTGTCTGTCTAAATACTCTGGAATTGTGTGTTTATGCTGAAGTGACTTCAGCTGTTAAAATGAGACTACATGTGTGAAGAGCCTCCAGAAATATTCAGTCTCTCCCTTGCTTTTGTCTTGTTTTTAGGTCTGGTTTTCAGATTTCTTCAGACACACTTGGAGTGCATGTGGTTTTCATTGTGGGTGGAGGGGGTACAGACTGACAAATAAGGAACCACACCCAAGCTTCATAAATGAAACAGAGGTTTTAAAAACATTCCTCTGCTGATATATGAAAAACATTTGGGTTTGCTTTGGTAGTCGTAGAAACTTCCTTGTAAAACATAACATATTTTGTAATAAGATGGCTCTGAGTGTAGTGTCTTGAATTTGTGATTTTGGCACATCATGAATCAAAATGTTTGCCTCTTAAGTAGACCCCTGATTTTTTTTCCCCTGAAATTTATTTAATTGAAAGGCAGAGTTAGAGAGAGAGAGAGAGAGAGAGATATTCTGTCTGCTGGTTACTCTGCCCCCGCCCCATGGCTGCAGTGGCCAGGGTTAGTGTCAGGAGCCTGGGAATGCTATCTGGGTCTCCCACGTGGGTGGCAGGGGCCCAAGCACTTTGGCCATCTTCTGCCACTTACTCAGGCACATTAGCTGGGAGCTGGATCTAAGTAGAGCCTCCAGGACTCGAACTGTTTTGGTTGGTTTTTTAAAGATTTATTTATTTACTTGAGAGGCAGTTATAGACAGACAGAGGTCTTCCATCCACTGGTTCACTCCCCAAATGGCTGCAATGGCTGGAGCCGCGCCGATCCGAAGCCAGGAGCTTTTTCCAGGTCTCTCCCCAAGACACTTGGGGTATCTTCTACTGCTTTCCCAGGGCATTAGCAGAGAGCTGGATTGGAAGAGGAGGAGGCCAGGACATGAACTGGCGCCCATATGGGATGCCTATGCCACAGCACTGGCCTCCAAGAGCCTGGGTTTTGAATCTCTCCACTGAAGGGATTATGTGATTTATGCCTGGGGATTTTTTTAAATTTCTATTTTATGATTTATTTATTTATTTGAAAGTCAGAGTTACACAGAGGGAAGGAGACATAGAGAGGGGGAGAGATCTTGTATCTGCTGGTTCACTCCCCGATGGCTCCAATAGCCAGGGTTGGACCAATCCAAAGCCAGCAGCCAGGAGCTTCTTCAGGGTCTTCCACGTGGATGCAGGGGCCCAAGCATTTGGGCCATCTTCTGCTGTTTTCTCAGGCCTTTAGCAGGGAGCTGGATCAAAGTGGAGCAGCCAGGACTTGAACCAGTGCCCACATGGAATGCCAGTATTGCAACCTGCATGCAGCCTTGCCTGATATGCTACCATGCCAGCTCCCTAAAAATTTCTTTTTCTTTTTTTTTTTTAAGATTTATTTATGTATTTGAGAGGCAGAGTTACAGACACAGAGAGGGAGAGACAGAGAGAGAGAGGTCTTCCATCTGCTGGTTCACTCCCCAGATGGCTACAGTGGCTGAAGATGGGCCGATCTGAAGCCAGGAGCATCTTCAGGGGCTCCCACATGGGTGCAGGGGCCCAAGGACTTGGGCCATCTTCTACTTTCCCAGGCCATCAACAGAGAGCTGGATCAGAAGTGGAGCAGCCGGGACTTGAACCTGTGCCCATATGGGATGCCAGTGCCTCTGGTGGATACTTAACCTACTGCACCACAGCGCCTCCCCGCCCCCCAGTTTCTTAATGTTAAACCTTGTTTGTTAACAGTAACAAATGTTTATATATTAATTTAATCCACAAACAGTTAAAAAGCTGTTAAGTACTAAGAAGGGAAAAAACTTAAGAAAACTTCATAAAATACACTATCTTTGAAAATGGCCCTTAACCCCTCCTGCATTTTACTCTGCTTTTTGTGGAGATGAACAGTCAGAAGCATATGGAAGGAAAGTATAAATAGAAAACACTGAGCGCTATTGCCAGTGCTGGAGCTGTCAGTTTTGGTGAACAGTTTGGCCAAGTGTGATAATATAAGTTAGCTAAAATATCGAGGGCAAAATGAGATTTCAATCTTAGGAAAAGACTGTTCTATAAACGATCTAAACCTTTTTGAATTTTTTTTTTTGTTCTGCAAAATGAGGAAGTTAGGATCCTGTGTGTGTGTGTGTGTTTAAAGATTTACTTATTTTTTTTGAAAGTCAGAATTACAGAGAGATAGGTAGAGAAAGAGAAAGAGACGAAGAGAGAGAGAGACAGAGAGATCTTCCATCCACTGGTTCACTCCCCATATGGGTGCAAAGGCTGGGGCTGGAGCCTCCTCTGGGTTTCCCAGGTGGGTGCAGGGGCCCAGGGACTTGGGCCATCCTCTGCTGCTTTCCCAGGTGCATTAGTAGGGAGCTGGATTGGAAGTGGAGCTGCTGGGACTCGAACAGTACCCACATAGGGTGCTAGCACCACAGGCAAAGGCTTAACCTTCTCTGCCACAGTGTCAGCCCCAGGACCCCTTGTTTTTGAGGTATTTACCATCACTAGAAATGTGATTAAGGTTTTCTTCTTTGACATATTGTTTCCTTTATAGATCCTTATTGTAACCTGAAAATTCAGTTAATCTGAAAAAATTTATTAAACACCTTAATGCACATATATACCTAAAGATCAACATTTTAGTCATAGATTTTTATTTATTTACTTAAAGATTTATTTGTTTATTGGAAAGGCAGAGTTAGAGAGGGGAGGGAGATCATCTCCCAAGTGGCTGGCCAAGCCAAAGCCAGAAGCCAGGAACTCCATCCAGGTCTCCAACGTGGGTGGCAGTACTTAGGCCTTCGTCCTCTGATTTCTGAGGAGTGTTAGCAGGGAGCTGGATTGGAAGTAGAACATCTGGGACTTGAATTGGCGCTCTTATGGGATGCATGTGTTGCAGGCGGCAGCTTAAGCTTCTGTGTCCCAGTGCCAGCCCCTGGATTTTCTTTTTTTTGGCAGGCAGAGTGGACAGTGAGAGAGACAGAGAGAAAGGTCTTCCTTTTCCGTTGGTTCACCCCCCACAATGGCTGCTGCAGCTGGCACGCTGCGGCCGGCGCACCATGCTGATCCGAAGCCAGGAGCCAGGTGCTTCTCCTGGTCTCCCATGCAGGTGCAGGGCCCAAGCTCTTGGGCCATCCTCCACTGCACTCCCTGGCCACAGCAGAGAGCTGGCCTGGAAGAGGAGCTACTGGGACAGAATCCGGCGTCCCAAACGGGACTAGAACCTGGTGTGCCGGCACTGCAGGTGGATTAGCCTAGTGAGCCGCGGTGCCGGCTGGATTTTCTTTTCACTGTGGAAATAAGCCCACAAGTTCCTGGGGGCCAAACACTGATTAAGATGCCCATGTCTGGCATCCCAGAGTGTGAGTTCAACCCAGAGTGTGAGTTCAACTCCTGACTCTTGCTTTTTTTTTTTGGACAGGCAGAGTGGACAGTGAGAGAGAGAGACAGAAAGAAAAGTCTTCCTTTGCCGTTGGTTCACCATCCAATGGCCGCCACGGCTGGCTGTGCTGCGGCCGGCGCACCGCGCTGATCCGATGGCAGGAGGAGCCAGGTACTTCTCCTGGTCTCCCATGGGGTGCAGGGCCCAAGCACTTGGGACATCCTCCACTGCACTCCCTGGCCACAGCAGAGAGCTGGCCTGGAAGAGGGGCAACCGGGACAGAATCTGGCGCCCCGACCGGGACTAGAACCCGGTGTGCTGGCGCCGCAAGGCGGAGGATTAGCCTAGTGAGCCACGGCGCCGGCCCTGACTCTTGCTCTTGATCCCAGCTTCTTGCAGATGCAGACCCTGGAAACCAGTGATGATGGCTCAGGTGATTAGGTTTCTGCCACCCATTTATGAGACCTGAATTGAGTTCCCAGCTCCTGGTTTTGGTGCTTGCCTAGCCCTAGCTGTTGTGAGCATTTGAGGAATGAACCAGTGGGTGGGAGCTGTCTTTCTCTCCCTGCCTCTCAAATATATAAATAAATAAAATTTTTTTGTTTTTGTTATTTTTTTATTTCAAAGACAGAATTACAGAGAGAGGCAGAGAGAGAGGTCTTCCATCTGCTGGTTCACTCCCCAGATGGCCACAACAGCTGGAGCTGCACCGATCAGGAGCCAGGAGCTTCTTCCTGGTCTCCCACATGGGTGCAGGGGCCCAAGGACTTGGGCCACCTTCCACTGCTTTTCCAGATTATAGCAGAGAGCTAGATTGGAAGAGGAGCAGCCGGGACTAGAACTGGCGGCCATACGGGATGCCAGCATTTCAGGCCAGGGCGTTAACCCACTGTACCACAGCACTGGCCCCAATAAATAAATTTTGAAAGTTACTAGTAATAGTACATGTTCATTAAAGAAAATATAGAAAAACATGGAAAAGCAGAAGCCAGAATGAAACTATTATATTCTGACTGCTAAACTAATAAGAACATTTTGATTATCTATTTCTAGTATTTCTGTACACATGTAGTAAATACATAAACAAAATTGAGATTGTAATATTTACTCTTTTTTTTTAAAGATTTATTTTATTTATTTGAAAGGCAGTTACAGAGACAGGGGAGATAGAGAGAGATTGTCCATCTGCTGGTTCTCTCCCCAAATGGCTGTGATGACCAGGGCTGGGCCAGGCCAGAGCCAGGAGCCAGGAGCTTCATCCAGGTCTCTCACGTGGGTATTGAGGCTCAAGGACTTGGACCATCCTCCACTGTTTTCCCAGGTGCATTAGCAGGGAGCTGGATCAGAAGTGGAGCAGCCGGGACTTCAACCAGCTGCAGCTTAACTCATGCCACAACGCTGGCCTTGTGTGTGTGTGTGTTTTAAGATTTATTTATTTATTTGAAAGAGTTACACAGAGAGAGAAGGAGAGAGAAAGGGAGAGAGAGAAGGGGAGAGAGAGAGAAAGAAAGAGAGAGGTCTTCCATCCACTGGTTCACTCCCCAGTTGGCTGCCATGGCCGGAGCTGGGCCGATCTGAAGCCAGGAGCTTCTTACTGGTCTCCCACACGGGTGCAGGGACATAAGGACTTGGGCCATCTTCCACTGCTTTCACAGGCCATAGCAGAGAGCTGTGGGTTGGAAGTGGAGCAGCCGGGACTTGAATCGGTGCCCATGTGGGATGCCGGCACTGCAGGTGGCAGCTTTACTTGTATGCCACAGCACCTTGCCTGTGTTTTATAATCTGTTCTTTTTACTTAGATTAGAAACATTTTCCCATGACATCAAATATTTGAACATATTTTCATTGTTTCAATGTCTGTACATTTTTTTTAAGATTTATTTATTTATTTGAAATCAGAGTTAAACACAGAGAGGAGAGGCAGAGAAAGAGAGGTCTTCCATCCGCTGGTTCACTCCTCAATTGGCCATAATGGCTGGAGCTATGTCGATCCAAAGCCAGGAGCCAGGAGCTTCCTCCAGGTCTTCCCATGCGGGTGCAGGGGCCCAAGCACTTGGGCCATCCTCCACTGCTTTTGCAGGGCATAGCAGAGAGCTAGATCGGAAGTGGTGCATCTGGGACTTGATCTGGTGCGATATGGGATGCCAGCACTGCAGGTGGCAGCTTTTATCCACAATGCCATAGCACCAGCCCCACATTATTTTTTTATAGAGCTTTTTCACACTTAATTGGATCTGTTGTATATTCAAGCTATTTCTAGTTTTCCTTGGTCATTACAATGCTGTATTTAACCTCCTCAAGTGTGACTCTGTATGGGTTTTTGATTTCTTTAAGGAAGATTCCTAGATGGCAAAGAATTCTACTGTGTTTTTATTTTTGGTTTAAGGAAATTTCAGTTTATTTTCTTTAAGGTTTAATTATTTATTTGAAAAACAGAGTTACAGAGAGAGGTAGAGACAGAGAGAGAGGTCCTCCATCCACTTGTTCACTCCCCAGATGGCCGCAATGACCAGAGCTGTGCTGATCCAAAGCTAGGAGCCAGGTGCTTCTTCCAGGTCTCCCACCTGGGTGCAGGGGCCCAAGGATTTGAACCATCTTTACTGCTTTCTCAGGCCACAGCAGAGAGCTGGATGGGAGGTGGAGCAGCCAGGACTTGAATCGTCGCCCATACGGGGTGCCGGCACTGCAGGCAGTGGCTTTACCCACCATGCCACAGCTCTGGCTCCTCTACTGTGTGTTCTTAATTTACACATATGGTATTGTGATCTTGTTCTTTTTTAAAAACTTCAACACTATGCTTTTTTTTTTTTAATATTTTTATTTGTTTATTTGAGAGTTAGAGTTAACAGGGGTAGAGGCTGAGAGAAAGGTCTTCCATCTGCTGGTTCACCTCCTAAATGGCCACAGTGGTTGGAGCTGGGCTGATCAGAAGCCAGGAGCTTTTTCCTGGTCTCCTACAACAGTTGCAGGTGGCCAAGCACTTAGGCCATCTTTCTTTTTTTTTTAATGATTTATTTTATTTATTATTTGAAAGTAGAGTTACAGAGATGCAGAGAGAGAGAGAGAGAGAGAGAGAGAGAGAGAGAGTGAGAGTGAGTCTTCCATCTCTTGGTTCATTCCCCAAATGACCGCAATGGCTAGAGTTTTGCCAGTCCGAAGCCAGGAGCCAGGACCTTCTTCCGGGTCTCCCATGTGAGTGCAGGGGCCCAAGGACTTGGGCCATCTTCTACTGCTTTCCTAGGCCATAGCGGAGAGCTGGATCGGAAGTGGAGCAGCCAGACATGATCTGGCATCATATGGGATGCCAGCTCTGCAGGTGGTGGCTTTACCCACTACCCATAGCATTGGCCCTAATGGACCATCTTCTGGTTTCCCAGGCTGTAGTAGAGAACTGGATCAGAAGAGGAGCAGCTAGGACTAGAACTAGTGCCCATATAGGATGCCAGTGCCACAGGTAGAGATTTTGCCCACTGCCACAATGCTGGCCCCAACACTATGGTTTTTTTTTGTTTGTTTGTTTGTTTTTGACAGGCAGAGTGGACAGTGAGAGAGAGAGAGACAGAGAAAGGTCTTCTTTTGCCGTTGGTTCACCCTCCAATGGCCGCCACGGCCTGTGCACTGCGGCCGGCGCACCGCGCTGATCCGATGGCAGGAGCCAGGTGCTTCTCCTGGTCTCCCATGGGGTGCAGGGCCCAAGTACTTGGGCCATCCTCCACTGCACTCCCTGGCCACAGCAGAGAGCTGGCCTGGAAGAGGGGCAACTGGGACAGAATCCGGCACCCCGACCGGGACTAGAACCCGGTGTGCGGGTGCCACAAGGCGGAGGATTAGCCTAGTGAGCCGCGGCGCCGGCCCCCCAACACTATGTTAAAGATACATTCCTGTGAAGTTGCTTCTGACTACTACATGGTGACTTCTTGTTTGCACTCAAAGTATTTTACTTATTTATTTCCTTACTGAATTGCTTCAACTTCCCATAACACAAATGATGGCAAAATGAACATTCTGAATAGACTGCACATCCTATATGTGCTCCCTTTAAAAGCCTGTATGATAATTTCTCTAGTGTTTATACTTGGAAGTGGGATTTCTGGGTCAAAGGACATTAATATACTCCTATACTATTTTCACCCAGTATTCTGTTTGTGTGGCCTTTGTTGTGTATTATGTGTGTCCTCTAGAATTTTTTTTTTTTTTTTTTAAGATTTATTTGTTTATTTGAGAGGCAGCGTTAAAGAGGGAGAGACAGAAAGAGGTCTTCCATCCTCTGGTTTACTCCTCAAATGGCTGCAGTGATGGGGGCTGGACCAGGCTGAAGCCAGGAGCTTCTTCTGTGTACAGGGGCCCATGCCCATGGACCATTCTCCACTGCTTTCCCAGGTGTGTTAGCAGGGAGCTATATGGAAGTGAAGCAGCTGGGACTTGAACCAGACCCCAGATAGGATGCTGGCACTGCAGGCCACAGCTTTAATCCACTGAGCCACAGTGCCAGCCCCCTTCCAGGATTCTTATACCAATATACATTCCTATCTGAAGGGAAGGAGAAGGCATAATTGGTGGATTCTAACTCTAAAACTAATACCTCCTCTTGTCTTTGTTTTTAGCAGCCATGGCAATGACAGGCTCAACACCTTGCTCGTCTATGAGTAATCACACAAAGGAAAGGGTGACGATGACCAAAGTGACATTGGAGAATTTTTATAGTAACCTTATCGCTCAACATGAAGAACGAGAAATGAGGTAAATAATTTTGCTTGAAAAAATTATCATGGCTATGGCATTCATGTCTGGTGTAATAAAACATATTGATAATATTGCTGAAAAAAGACAAGAATAGTAGTAACTATGTAATAGACTGTCCCATTGCAGTGGAATGACGGTATAACAAATTCCCAAAGTCCCTGTTATTAACCATTTATTTCTGTTAGTCAATAACGTAAGGTTCTGTTGAAATATATTTAAAAAATGGAGCTAGATAATTGAAGTTCATTTTACAAATTATTTATTTATTTATTCTTTGAGAGACAAAGACCAAGAGAACTCCATTCTGCTGGAGCAGTCCCAGCAGCTTGGACTGGGCCTGGTAGAAACCAGGAGCCAGGAACTCAGTCTAAGTCTCCAGGTCAGTGGCAGGGGCCCAGTTACTTGAGCCATCACTTGCTGTTTCCCTGTGTGAGCAGGAAGCTGGAGTCAAGAGCCAGAGCTGGGACTCAAACATAAGCACTCTGATAGAGGATGCAGCAACTTGACTGCAGGCCCAGCCCTTGCCCTGGGAGTTCATTTTTAAAGCCGTGTGATAGTGCGGAAAGATCAGCTCCTTTGGCGTCAGACCTGGGCTTGGAATTCTGCTTGTACCATTTAGTAGCTCTATGAACCTGGCACAAGTTCCGTAGTCTTTTCTCAGTTTCCCCATCCAGAAAATAGGCATAATTCTCCTTGCCTTGCAGGATTGTTGTGGGGATTAGATATAACATATGTAGGTACCCACTGTAAGCTTCATGGATAGCGAGCACTTAGTTAATGGTGATGGTAGCAGCTATTGTTATTACTGATCTGGTATACACTTTTTTTTTTTTTTAATTTTTGACAGGTAGAGTGGACAGTGAGAGAGATAGAGAGAAAGGTCTTCCTTTTGCCGTTGGTTCACCCTCCAATGGCCGCTGTGGCCGGCGCACCGCGCTGATCCGAAGGCAGAAGCCAGGTGCTTCTCCTGGTCTCCCATGCGGGTGCAGGGCCCAAGCATTTGGGCCATCCTCCACTGCACTCCCTGGCCACAGCAGAGAGCTGGCCTGGAAGAGGAGCAACCGGGACAGAATCCGGCGCCCCGACCGGGACTAGAACCCGGTGTGCGGCGCTGCAGGCGGAGGATTAGCCTAGTGAGCCACGGCGCCAGCCTGGTATACACTTTTTATGTAGTAATTAATAATTAAAATTTTTTTTCAAACACTCTGTTGTGAAAGTACTCAGAAGTATAGAAAGATTAAAAGAATTATACAGTAAATACATGTATACGTGTTATCTAGAGTCTACAATTATGATTTATTGTATTTGTGTTACCCATCTCTATGTCTATTCATTAATCTAAATTTTTTAAAAGTTTATTTATTTTTTATTTATTTGGAAGGCAGAGAGAAAGAAAGAAGTTTTCCATCCACTGGTTCACTCCCAAATACCTGCAACAGCCAGAGCTGCAGCAGGCTGAAGCCAGGAGCTTGGAACTCAGTCTCAATCTCTCATGTGGGTGGCAGGGACTCAACTACTTGAGCCATTACCAATTGCCTCCCAAGGTGTGCATTAGCAGGAAGCTGGGATGGGAAGCGGAGCTGGGACTCAAACCCAGACACTGCAAGATGCAGTGGAGGCATCCCTAGCAGGTTCTTAACCTCTGTGCCAGTTGCCTGCCCTGCCTCCATCTTAGATTTTTGCTGTGCTTACAAGTTTGCTGCAGATGTCAGGGTACTTTTGAGTATTTCTGCTTATATAACATTAAGTAGAAGGGTGGACCTTTGGTGCCTTGGCTGAAGTTGCTGCTTGGGTTGCCTGTATCCCATCTGGTGTCTGGTTTGAGTCCTAGCTACTGTGCATCCCATCCAGCTTCCTGCTGATGTGAATCTGAGAGGCAGTAGAAGGTGGCTCAGGTGGTTGGGTCCCTGCCACCCATATGGGAGCCCAGGATAGAGCTCTGGGCTCCCAGCTTTGCCCTGATCCAGCCCTGGCTGTTGCATGCATGAGGGGAGTGGACAGTGAATGAATGCTTACTCTCTGTCTTTGTCTCTCTGCCTTACAAATAAAATGAAAATAAAATTTTAAAATATTAACTAGAGTCGAACATTTATATTTTTAGGAGAGTGTAAAATTTGTGCGTTTTAACAGATGAGTATAGCTGTATAAGTGAAACTTGTTTGATGAGTTTTAACAAACACACATATCTGTCTAAGTTAAAACCCAAATCAAGATGTAGAACATTACAATCCTTCCAGAAAGTTCTTTCATGCCTCTTGCTCCTTCAGCCTTGGGAATTCCACTGTTGTGATTTTTTTTCTAGTGTAGATTCATCTTGTCTATTCCATACAAATAGAACATATAATTGAAATCATAGAGTAAATAATTCATTTGAGGACAACATCTTTCATTCAGCATGTTTTTGAGGTTGATCCATTTTTTGTTGTTGTCATTGTTGTTAAAGATTTATTTATTGGAAAGGCAAAATGACAAGAGAGTGAAGGGTGGTGAGAGAAAGAGAAATAGATCTTTGATCCACTGGTTAACTCTCCAAATGCCTACAACAGGCAGGCCTGGGCCAGGCCGAAGCCAGACTTCAGGAACTCCTCCATCCACGTCTCTCGAGGCTGTGTCAGAAGCAGGGGAGCTGGGGCTTGAACCAGGCCCTGTCACATGGGATGCGCGGACATCCCTAGGGGCGCTGTGCCGAAGCTGCCCCTGTGCTCTGACCCTTCTTACTGTTCCCTACTTTAATTATCCAGCCATTGAAATGGAATTCATTTACACCCTTGAAATTTTCGACAGCGGAATCTTCTCCTTCTAATACTTGTGAACACATGGGTGAATATCCCAAAGTATTCTGGGAATTTAAAGAAGAAAATTGGGGAAGTTGGGTAGGTGACCCATTAAGATTAGAGTAAATCTTCCCAAGTTTGGATGCAAATTCTTATTTTTTGTTTCATCCTGTGGATTTCTAATAAAATTCCTCAACAAAACATTCACTTTAACTTAATACTGTTACTGAAATAAATATTCATTGACCAAAATCAAACTAATTTTCTTTCTGTGTTCCTCTCTCTCTGTTTCTTTGTTCATACATCATTGTCTATCCCCCACCCACCAGACAAGACATTTTAAGATGTTTCCTTTGATTCCTACTTACAATTGGTTTTCTTTGCAATGACAAGGCACTTCATTGCAGTAGGAGATCTTTGCTGTGTGACTGAATTAGGACAGTAGCTGTCAATGGCCTCAGTCTCTTCTCAGTTGATTTGCCTGCCTGCCAGTCTGTTAGATCTTTTTTTTTTTTTTTTTTTTTTTTGACAGGCAGAGTGGACAGTGAGAGAGAGAGAGAGAGACAGAGAGAAAGGTCTTCCTTTTGCCGTTGGTTCACCCTCCAATGGCCGCCGCGGCCAGTGCACTGCGGCCGGCGCATCGCGCTGATCCGAAGCTAGGAGCCAGGTGTTTCTCCTGGTCTCCCATGGGGTGCAGGGCCCAAGCACTTGGGCCATCCTCCACTGCACTCCCGGCCCATAGCAGAGAGCTGGCCTGGAAGAGGGGCAACCGGGACTAGAACCTGGTGTGCCGGCGCCGCAAGACAGAGGATTAGCCTAGTGAGCCATGGCACCGGCCTAGTCTGTTAGATCTTCATTATTGCTGGTTACCATTCTGAAAGAAAAGTCTTGTCGCATCATTCTGCTTAAAAGCCTCTATGAGTTCTCATTGTCCTCAGAGTGAGACCTACACTTCTTGGTTCTATGTGTATCAGCCTTACTAGACTCCAAGCTGTTTCTTCTTCAGTGTACCCTGTGCTTTGATTTTTTTCCCACCCTGCTCAGGTCGCCTATTTATCTGGAAAGCCGATAAGTAGTGGAGGAGAGGTTCTAGCCCGTGTGTTTTCTTTTATTATGATGAATAAATAAAGATTTGCTCTTCAGGGTGTTTTACTTGTTCTTTTTAGTTGTATCAAATCAGTGTGAGATTGTCGATCAGAAGTATCCAGTTTCTAAACTGAAGTTTGGTATTCCAGGGGTTTGGCGTCTTAAGTTTTGATAGTGGTGCCACTCCCCTTTCTCATCACTCCCCCCACCCTTGAATCTCCAAATTCTTCCTGTACCTTTGCCATGCATCACTCTGCTCATAGCAGGGAGGAGGAAGAAGATGTGAAAATAAAGGGTGTATATTTTGGTCAGAGAGGGAGAGAAACATCCTGATATAAGAGGTCATCAAATACCAGCTGTTTTGTGGTTAGGTAAGGAGGAAATAGCTGGGAGAGAGGGGGGAGGAAGGGAAGGAACGAGAGAAAACATTTAATTTTGAAACAAGATTCACTGTTAACATTAAAATCTTATACAGTCTTTACATAAATATAGACCTAAGGATAGGAATATTTTCATTTGTCTTAGCCATTGCAAAATTTTTTTTTGTTTTTATGAGGTATTTTTGATTTACTTTTGTCATTTTTCAAAAACCAACTGTATGTGTGTATGGAGTTTTCAGAAAGTCTACCATTCTATATATTTTTTGTTGTTTGTTTTAGACAAAAGAAGTTAGAAAAAGTGATGGAAGAAGAGGGCCTAAAAGATGAAGAGGTAATTAATGCTGGGAATCTCCCTTGAATTCCAGCACGGCAGGCTGAGTCTTGCCCGTGGAGTTAACCTGGGTGCGTAGGGGAAGGGTATTGGCTCAGAAACAGGAACTTGAGAGGTGGCATGTTTCTGCGTTTGGGTTTTATTTGGAGGGAGAAGTTATTTGTTAAATATCCAGCAGAGAAAGGCCTCTTGGCACATTTCAATAATTAATTAGATTTAAAATTGCAAGAAAAAGGATGAAATCATATTAAAATTTAAGAGAAGAAAGGTGTAGCATTCTTACAGCATTCAGTGAAACAAAATTCAGTGGGACAAATTTCTGAAATCATTATTAAGGTGAAATAGATCTTAAGTCAGCCCTTCAGCCTAATGTGCACAGATATGGTAGGGGGTGGAAATAATCCCGGGCAACGAACTGAATGAAGTGGAAATGCCTTGAAAAAAAGAAACGAACCACAGCAGAACCCAGGACCATGGTGAAAAAGACCCAGTACTTACATCAGTGATAGTTGGAGGGATACAGTGAGCTGCAAGGAGTAAAAAAACTAGAAGGAAATTTAAAAAAAAAACAAAGAACACTTTTATTTGATAAGAAATGTGAAAGGAGCATGTTGTTGATTGTTTGTCCCCCTCCAGTGGAAGTGTTAGGGTACTGGACTGCTCCGGGGAGCACCCACCTGTCCCGGATGGGTGCTGTGTGTGCCTTGGTTGTTACATCTGAAAGTCAAGGATAGGAGAGGTGACCTCGTATGCATCCTTTTGCTGTGATTACCCAGAGTCCAGTGCAGTCCTGTTTTCCAGCTCAGTGAGTCAGAAATACGATATATTACAGAGTTTCAGAATTTCAGCTCCTTCTCTTCCCGCTCTGTATTTGGACATTAGAAACGGCTCAGGAGATCAGCGCATGCTCGGAAGGAGACTGAGTTTCTGCGTTTGAAGAGAACAAGACTTGGATTGGAAGATTTTGAGTCCTTAAAAGTCATAGGCAGAGGAGCATTTGGTGAGGTAAGAACCACAGCTACTTGTCAAGAACAAAAGTACTGTAGAACTTTGAAAATTATAACATAGCATGAGCTCATGATTGTGAATATAAGCAAAATGTTTGGAGTTAGATGGATCAGGCATGCCAGCCCCACATCCTAACTACCTTGTCTGTCCTGTTTCCTCTTTCCTCCTCTTTCCGCTGTCCCAGTTATCAATTTTGGCAGAAATGATATTGGTGCATTAAATATTGATCTAGAGGGAGAATTGAAAATTGGGAGGGAATCAATATTAATTATTTACTCCGTGCTTTTCTCCTGTAATCGTGACAATAGCCTGTTTTGTAGATGATGCAGTTAAGATTCCACAGGTATATGTAAAGTCCCAGTGTCACGTAGCCATTGAGCATTAGATCAGAGGTTTTTTTTTTTTAAGATTTATTTTTTATTTGTTTGAAAGGCAGAGTTAGAGTGAGAGTGAGAGTGAGAGAGAGAGAGAGAGAGAGAGGGAGATTTTCCATCTGCTGATCCTCTCCCCAAATGGCCACAGCAGCCAAGGCTGGACCAGGCTGAAGCCAGGAGCCTGGAGCTTCTTCCGGGTCTCCCACATGGGCCCAAGTACTTGGGCCATATTCTGCTGCTTTCTCAGGCATATTAGCGGGGAGCTGAATTGAAAGTGGAGCAGCCAGTTCTTGAATTGACACCCATATGGGATGCCAGCATCGCAGGCGGAGACTTACCATGCTACACCACGGTGCAGACCCCCTGGATCAGAAGTTGAACCCAAATCTTCCTGACCTTAAAGTTCTTGATTTTTCTTCTTCTTCTTCTCCTCCTCCCCCCCCTCTTTCCTTCCTCCTCCTCCTCCTCCTCTTCTTCTTCTTCTTTTTTTTTTTTTTAAGATTTATTTTATTTGTTTGAAAGGTAGCGTTACAGAGAGAGGGAGAGATAGAGAGATCTACCATCTGCTGGTTCACTCCCCACATGGCCACAATGGCCAGCGCTGGGCCAGGAGCCAAGAGCTTCATCCAGGTCTCCCACCTAGGCGCAGGGGTCCAAGAACTTGGGCCATCTTCTGCTGCTTTCCTAGGTACATTAGCAGTGAGCTGGATCAGAAGTGGAGCAGCCAGGACTCCCAACTGGTACCCACATGGTATGCCAGTGTAACAGGCTGCAGCGTAACTCATTACATCACAATACTGGTCCCAAGTTCTTATCATGTCTACACCCTTTATTTCTGCCAGATTGGTATCACTCTGAAAAAATGGCCTCGGAGCCAGAACTTCCAGAAAGGAGCTCTGAGAGATTAGTAGTAGAGAGTGGAAAGCTTTGGCAGCTTTATCCCTTCTGTTCTCACAAACGACTTGTGCTTGGCAGTGAGCAATCTGATGGAGGCAATTTGAATGAGCCTTTGCAAGGTCATTTGCATTGCTGCAAAATGCCCAAAGTGCACAAAAAGCACACTGCAGTAGTTGTATTACCTTTGTACAGAGGGGGCAGCATATTGCTACAGATGAGTACCTGGGGAGTAGAATGCTCAAAGTACAATTGAATGACAAGCCTGATCCTCTGTGCTCAGAGTCACTGTTGGGGTCTGTGAGGGAGGGAAAGGTACAGCACTGCCGCTACTTTCTGTTCAGGGAGGACTCGCTGTGGGACTCCATTAGGAAAGATATGAGGTGAGGCACAGAGAGAAGAAAATGCATTTACCTGGAGAGAGGAGAGGAGGATGTATAAGAACTGGCCAGGAAGTTTTCCTTTTGGTTTACATGTAGGCCATCAACTTTGTTTTCATTGTCAAATTATTTGTTCTCTTCAAAAACATTGAAAATATATATGAAAAAGGAGAACTGTGTTAAATCCCATTTTCCTGATTTCTCTGTGCATAAACTTATTTTCAACCTGTAATCGTGTACTTAGGTTTTCTGAGCTGACTGGCTTACAGATGTCAGAGGGTTAACGAGTCCTGAAAGCTTTCATTAGATTGGTTTGTTCACTTACAGAGCTAAAGCTGCTCAGATATAGAGTATTTGAGGATGTTTCCAGCCTGAATTCACTGTGTTAATATATTTATTTTTTATCATTCTTCTGCTTTGTCACTGCTACTTGATTACATTAAAATTATCGTGCTTCAGTTTAAATATTTCTGTGCCACATGAAAGTGTTACTCGACAGTGTTAATATTTGATTTGGCATTTCTTGATAACTTCTTAGGTGCGGCTTGTTCAAAAGAAAGATACGGGGCACGTGTATGCCATGAAAATACTCCGTAAAGCAGATATGCTTGAAAAAGAGCAGGTAAGGCACAGTTGGAGTGGTACTTTCAGTCAGCTTGTGAAGTTGTGTCTCCTAAAGCCATTCTTTTTGCTTAGTTAAAAATGCATATTTTTGTTAGTTTTCCTTAGTTCTGTTGTGTGTGTACATGTATTATTGCCCCCCCCCCCCAGAAGGAAGCACATACTGAAAAGCGCAAATAATGCGTGTAGGTTATATGTCATCTTTGAAAAGCTGAAAACCTGTTAGAGCAGCAGCTGCAGCTGGAGTCTCCCAGTTGGTCACAAGATGTCCTCATCGTGACAGCCTTTCTGGGAGGACAACATACTCAGTGTGGCAGTGTGTTTTTAGTCAACCTTGGACCGGAAGCCCAGAATTAGAATTTAGAATTTACAATCTAAAACGTGTTTTAATATGTTTCATTCTGCACACTTATCTCAAAGTTGGGTCTTCTGAGGGACTCGTTGCTATCTGAGAGACCAGTGCTCCATTTTCTGAGTGGATTTGTTCAATATAATGCAAATGAAAGGAGAATGCTAATTCTCCTTTAATGATTAAGAATATGTTTTAATAACCAAACCAACTTTTCAAATAGATCTGCAAAATGCATAAGTACTTTATGCAGAGTAAATAAGGTTTTAAATATTGAAGCATATTTTAAAAAGCAAGAATGCAGGCTTTTTGTAAATCTAATTTAGCAGGGTGCTTAAGAGCAGATTGCAGTGGGTGACAACTGCAGATGTCCTGTGACAGATCCGATGTTACAGGGGCGAGTTTAAGAGCAAGGGTGGAAGTTAGCCCCAAAGCTAGCTCTTGCTGCTGCTCAGGGGAGGCGTAGGCACTGAGCCTTCTCCGCCTTCATTTAAGTGCCGGCTCAAGTGTGGGTCGCTGTCCCCTCCTTAGTTTTCACGTGTGACCCAGAGGATAGAGACTCAGAGGAGTTTCAGTGGAGAGGGTCAGACCCCGGTGCAGTGAATCTTCAGATGCTGTAGGTCATGCTGACACTAACTTGGTTCAGATTCAGTAGTCCTGCTTTTTGTATGGACGTGTAGGCACCAACAGAGTTTGAGTTCATCTTGAGGAGGAAAATAAAAAGCTGTATTGATTGGTCAGTATATTTGCGTTTCATGATTAAGTTTTATTTTTACAAGACACATTTCCTACAGTTTCAACCGAGGCTTAAAACCTCTCTTAAGGTAATTAGCAGTCAGAGTAAGATTATAAAGCTAGTACATATTATGACTTTCAGGTTATTAATTCTACATAGTCTATGCCAGGTACCCACTGTGGTGACAGAGGATGTTCCCAGCATGTTGTGTAAAAACCTCTTCTCAAAATGTGCCTTCTTCAAAATCAGCGTCTAAATTTTTCCAAAGAAAAATGTCTGTTAGGACTTTAATGGATTAACTTATGCATTAAAGGGTACGTTAGCTTAATTGTTTAGCTCACCTTTGGTGCTAGATTTAATTCACTGGGTTTAATCTCATAATGGGGCCGCCCACTGCCTGGGTCAGCCATCCTGAAGAAGCGTGCGGCGTTTGTGCTAGGTGAAGATCAGAAGCAGGAGCATGCAAGCCCATCACTTTTGGGTAGAGCTGATAGAGTTCACATCCTGAGCCTGACGTTTTGTAGTTACGGGTGCCTTTATCCAGAGGAATGCTTATCTTTTTTGTTTGCTTTTTCTGAACTGAGCAAGAATTAAAGCTACCTACTGCAGAATGGTTAATTTCCAAAGGGTAGAAATTTCTGATCCCTGGAAATACTTAAAAAATAAGATGCCAGCATTTAGCTGGTTTCTGACATTTCTCCTCCGGCACAAAAGGAAAACCTTGCATTGTGGTGCCAGGATACAGTTTTGATGGGACAAAAGACTGGCTTTTATCTTTACTTTCTAAATGCCTGGGTTAGCTAGCACCCGCACCTCATTAAATATTTATGGAATGAGAAAGACTTTTGATATGAGTTGTACCCTTGGCTCTTCCTTCGTTTACCCAAAACTCAGTTGAGCTCACTCTTAGATCTTGAGGTTGTTCCTAGTTGCTGTTTCAGTCTCAGGAGAAGGGCAAGTTGTATTCAGACTGTTTGTAGTCTTCCAGTTGACAAACAGGAAGTATTGCAGTCATCACACTGTCCTCTGAGGTGAGGACAGCTGGTAATAGTGGTACCTTCCCTTTTCTCTGGCTCCCTGCACTTGGCAGGGCTTCAACAGGAGCCAGGGGCAACCTGCAGGTGAAAGCTGCCTCCTTGGGTCTAGTGTTTGATAGCAACTGAGTCTTGGCCACTACTGAAGGTGAGCAAGTAGTGTCAGTTTCCTCAGAGCTTTGCTTCTGTTTTAAGGTCAAGCATGCCTTCCTCGGCTTTTTGTGGTTTCATAGCCCTGTTCCTTATCACCCTACTGTCCATCCCCCCGCCCCATACCATTAGTACTGATGTAAAAATGTAAGTTTTCCGCAATATTGAAGTTACTTAAAAGTTCCCCAAAGAACACTTTTAGTAGAGACTGGAAACTCAGATCTGTAAACTGGAATGCCTGCAGGGCCCTGAGAGTTGCAGGGAAGGATGAGGCAGGGGAGGTGAGAGACCGGCGAGAGCGAGGGGTCTGTGTCCCACTGGAAGAGTGGCAGAAGAGCGTCTTCCTGTGAAACAAGCAAGCATCTGAAAGGTGTCTCAAACAGAACAGCAGCCACGGGCTGAATTTGCCAGCAGACATGCCATTTCTTCACTCTCGGTACACACTTCACTTGAGAACATGTTGTAAAAACTCAAGATCTGTAGCATGTATGAAGACCAAAACTTCTATTCAAGGATTGGACTTGGTTTTAATGGATTTAGATCTGATTCAACTCAACTTTGGATCTTGTGACACTTAATAAAGAGGGGAGGGGTAGAAGTTGATAATGTGCAGTGATGTTTACTATTATATATTTAAAGAAAATAAGGTAAATTCGATAGTAAAGCTTTATTTTAACAAAGTTCTTTTACCAGTTCTTCTAAACCTTATGCAATTGGGTCTCCTTAGCTATGTATTTTAGTAAAAGTAAGAATTGGAAGTGTCATTAATTTGAGTCTATTAATTTTCTTAGGTGTTCTTATATTTCAATTTGGTAAGAATTGAGTGAGCACACTGTGTGCACAATAGTGAACTGAATGCTGTGGCATCACAGTGTTCTAGAATTGTCCACTGGAGCACTGTCGTTGCAGACCCCAGGGTAGGACTTGTTCAGAGAATCTTACCTTGGCGGCTTATTTTCTGTCATAAATGATTATTAGAACAAAAATGGGTGCCAAAGAGTGGTGATTTTAACTAATCAGAGATTCAGTTTATAACACTGGTAAAGTTGCTGTTTCCATAAAGCCATTCGTTTTGCCACATTTGAAAGCCTTTCATCACTCAAGTTTTCATCACCAAGTACCATCTAGTCGAATGTCAATTTTGAATTAATAGGTTTATCTAAGTAGAAATTAGATCTTATGCATCATTACAATTAAATACTCAAAACAGTATTTAAATTGTTTAAACAAATATACAGTAGAAGCAGAGCAAGGCTTGTCATTAATCCAATGCGTATACCTCCAGGTTGGCCACATTCGTGCGGAGCGCGACATTCTAGTGGAGGCAGACAGTTTGTGGGTTGTGAAAATGTTCTATAGTTTTCAGGATAAGCTAAACCTCTACCTAATCATGGAGTTCCTGCCTGGAGGTAATTACTGACGATGAAAGGTCATTTTTCCTTTTTGTTCTATGGTTTCTCTCTCTCACCTCGACAGTTAACCCTCCTTTCTACTTGATTGTGCTCACAGAGTTGCTTTCTATATCTCTCTTCAGGTCTGTAAAGAAAGTCAGTAACCTGTCTTGTGCTGGGGTGCATTTCTACAGTCTTAGTGCCAAAAAAGTAACCGTTTTGTTCATTCTCAAGATTGCAGATGGAGATTTCTCTATTTTCTTTTTCTTCTAAAAATATGTAGGAATAAACCAGGTAGCTCTGCCTGTTCTCTTACCCGTGGAAATCACGTATAAGAAGTTACCTAACTGATAAAATTGAAGCTGTAACATTCTTTGCTTCAACTTTTTGTTTCTTTCTACCTGCTTGTGTTAGTAGTCAGAATCAGTTTTCACACTCAAGATAGCAAGTTTTACAGAACTCAGCGTGTGCATCTCTTAAGACATGAGACAGTTCCCGAGTCAACCCAGAACAGACCATACGTCCGTTCTGAGGAACTCCGGCTGTTTCCCAGTGAGCACATGAACTCTAAACAAACTGTTGGTGAAATTTTTTTCTTTTAATTTCCATTTTGGTTCTTAGCAAAGCAAATATAACTGTGGCATAAGATTTTGATCTTGTGGCAACCCTTAATTTAGATTTAGGGTCGCCAGTACTTTTTATTCACTGTTGATCAAAGTTAAGAAACAGTGTGGTAGAATGAGGAGAAACTTTTTTTCTTTTTCTTTTTTTTTAAACCTGAGAGAGAGATAAAGAGATAGCTTGCTCCCATCTGCTGGTTCACTCACTAAAGACCTACAACAGCTGAAGCTGTGCTGGGCAGAAACCGGAAGCTTGAAACGCATTCCAGGTCCCCCTTGTGGGTGGCCAGAACCCAATTACTTGAGCCCTTGCCGTAGGAAGCTGCAGTCAGGAGGTGGAGCTGGGTGTTGAACCTAGGTACTCTGGTGTTGGATGCTGGTGTCTTAACTGCTAGGCTAAACACCTGCCGGTGGGATAAATTTTTAAACATTTGGATGCTAGTTCTTGAGTAGGAGTAAGAACCAGCTTGATCACCAGTCCCTTGACATGTATCTCCTCATTCCTTACCCGCATTTTCTTCATGGCTTCTCACATCTCCTGGACTCTGCCCTTTGCACTCCGTGGAGCTGGCCTGAGCTGTCTGATCATTTGGGCATACTTGCACAGGTGACACCATTGGCTGCTCTCCTGGGCCACACAGCTACCTTAGAATTGGCCTGAGTGCACTGTCCCCACGTCTGCACTGTGCTTGCACACTGAATGGCTGCCAGGAGTGATTAGGGAATCATGTTTTTCAAGTCTTGGACCAAAAAAAGAGCTTTTAATAAGTGGTGTAATTTTTGCCTGAGGTAAAATAATCCACCTTTGTCCAAGAATACAAAAAATAAAATTATAAGTGAAATGAAATTTATAAAAAGTATGATACTCTATTAAAATCAGAGGTTTTCTTTTCCCTGTTTTCTAACAAGTGGCTTTATGTGGGGTCTAAACTGAATCTTTCCTATTTCTCTTGGCTTTAAACTACTTGTACATGTTTTCTTTGCTTTTGTCTAACTGTTGAATTAGGATCTGAATCTTTTTCTGCTATTTGATGTTGCTGGTATTAAGCAGAAATGAAGTTTGCTGAAAACTAAGGCGGTTACCCTTTAACTGCTAAAATCCTGATAATTGTGTTTTAAAAGTTACGTAAAGACTTGGCACACATTTAAATACTTGTGGTAAAACACTAAAGAGAAACAAAATCACTGATTGTGAGAGGTGTTCAGTGTGCACTTCTGGGAGGCGGTTCTCACACGTTCTAGTACAGTATTTTGTTTACTTTTAGTTTTTTGTTGACTGATATTTTGCTACCTAAATCCCGCCTTTTTGTTTATGTGTCTTCTAGTGTTTTATGACTAGAAGTTGGGAAGTTTACATTCCCAATGTTTGCATTTTTATTTGCTATTTCAGCCACTCTCTATAGCAATGGTAGTGTAGCCAATGTGGAGGTACCATTTGAGTCTAGATGGAGAGAAGTCTGCAAGTACTTATGCAGATAACGTGAAAAGGAAAGTAGCTTTTTGTCCTACAGCCAAAAAAGTGTCTTAAGCATATGTATGTATGTATATATGTAGATTTTTTAAAGTATGGGAGAAATTTCCTTTTTCTCTCACAAATAAAATAGAAAGAACAGATTGTGTTCAGCATCAGCTAACTTAGGTGTGAGAATGTCTCATTCTCTGTGGCTGTGATTTTTACCTGTAAAGTACTAGAAACAACTGCTCCCCATTTCCCCTGAGGTGAGAATGTGGGTCGGTCTCTGGGACTCAGCACAGGTCTGCTTAGCTGCCTTATGTTGGCATGTAGGGATGACGTGTCTGAGAACTAATGCTTACTCATGTGCTTGTGTGTGTGCACGCACGTGTGTGTGTGTGTGTGTGTTTGTGTGTGGTGGCTTTGTATTCTGTTTCCAGGAGACATGATGACCTTGTTAATGAAAAAAGACACTCTGACAGAAGAGGAGACTCAGTTTTATATAGCAGAAACAGTGCTAGCCATAGACTCCATTCACCAGCTTGGATTCATCCACAGAGACATAAAGCCGGACAACCTTCTCCTGGACAGCAAGGTATGCGGGTGGGGAGCAGCCTGAGTAGTGTGTTCGTGCTGATGGAGCAGGCTTTGCTGTAACAGACCTGTACCAGGTGTAATTACAGTGCAAGAGCAGTGAGCGACCGGTGTGTTTGCTCTTTTTTAACAAATAAGTTTGGTGTTACTTCTTTTGCCTGGGATTCAACGCTCCTCCTTAAAGTAAAGGACATTGTTGAAAATGATGAAAAACAAAGTTAATATAGAGAGTTATTGTCTAATGAAGCCAAAGATAATCATCTTCTAGCATAAAATTAACTAGAGTACTGATGCATTCCTGTCCAGAACCCCTCTGTGGGGCAACCTCATCAGTTAATGAGGAACCCAGCCAAGAACCAGGAAGCAGGGCAAAAAAATAAATAAAAGACAACAAAAATCTGTCACAAAGTTTGGGTCCCAAATCATACACTCTGCTTTTTAAAAAACCCATGTAATTGTTTCATTATACACATCTTTTTTTTTTTTTTTAAGATCTATTTACTTGAAAGGCAGTATTACAGAGAGAGGGGCAGAGGCAGAGAGAGAGAGATCTCTCTGCTGGTTCACTCCCTAAATGGCCACAGCGGCTGGACCTGGCTAGTCTGAAGCCAGGAGCCCAGAGCTTCTGAGTCTCCCGTGTGGATGCAGGGACCCAAGTACTTGGGCCATCCTTCGTTGCTTTCTCCAGCAGGGAGCTGGATCCGAAGTGGAACAGTTGGGACTGGAACCAGTGCCCATATAGGATGCCACAGATGGAGGCTTAACCTATGCCACAGTGCTAGCCCCCCAGAATTGTTATCTTGACTGAATTTTTCTTTAAAGTAGAAAAGTAAATCTAATTCCTAGGGTATTTTTCTTTGTTGCTGTCTTTCGATGACTTTGCTGCTGTCTTTGGAAAATCTGAAACTTTTTATTTTTTCTTGAAACCTCTATCTTTCTGTTTCAAGAGAGCCAAAGACTTGTCAGATAATTTCTTCTGGTGAATAGCTTTTTTTTTTTTTTCTATTGTAAGAATAATGCATATTTATGGTAGATAATTTGAACAACACAATTATAAAGAATAAAATTTTCCTATAAAATTATCATCACTGAAATGTAACTGCTATTTTGTTATAAAGCTTGATGCCTTTCTGTTTGTGTCTATAATTTATATGAAGTTAGCATCCTGAAAGTAAATTCTGCTTTTAAAATGTTAATGCTACTTTGATGAATGAATCTCTTACCCCTTACATCATAATAGACTCTTCTTTCCTCATTTTATGATCTTTGTCATGAATCCTACATTATGTAATAATCATATATCTACCCCTACTTTAAAAGATAATTGTGTATATATGTATAAAATACTCACATATGAGGTAAATATGGCAAAATGTTAAGAATTGCTAAATCTGTGTTTGCTCATTGAACTTTATATATTTTTCTGTATTTGAAATATTTTAAATATTTTAAAAGAAAAATGCTGTAGAATATATTTTTCAATACCATAAGTTCATATATAAAAGACTTTTTAATTTATTTGAAAGTCAGACTTACAGACAGGTAGGGAGAGACAGAGAGAGAGCTATCTATCCTCTGGATGACTCCATAGATAGCTGCAGTGCCTGGGGAATAGGCCAGGCCATAGCCTGAAGTTTCACCCAGGTTTCCCACATGAGTGCAGGCGCCCAAAACCCTGGGCCATCTTTTGCTGCTTTTCTAAAGCCATTAGGAGGGAGCTAGATTGGAAGTGGAGCTGCTGGGACTCAAACTAGCAGCCTCATGGGATGCCAGTATTGCAGGCTGTGGCTTAACCCACTATGCCACAACACTAGCCCCAAGTGCATAAATATTTTTAACAAGGCCCTACCCCTACCTTGTGTGTTTTTTAGATTTAGGTGTCCTGGTTTTGGCTTAGTTGTCCTCCTGTAGTCTACATTCAGGCTCAGCAAATGTACTGAAGGCCAAGGTCTTGGGAATGCAGTCTAGCTGAAGAGGAGATGCAGATTTGCCCCCTATAATATGCTAACTCAGACTTAGTGTAAAATGTTGTCATAAGCAAGCTCCTTTATGTATTCAGTGATGTAGATTGTAATAGTGAAAATGCAGAAGTATTGCGGTCCTGCTGTATACTCAGAATAGCTAAAGAAGTCCCTGAAAGTCTAGACTTGAATACCATTTGCTTTAGGTACTGCTTTTTTTTTTTTTTTTTTTTTTTAGACAGGCAGAGTGGACAGTGAGAGAGAGACAAAGGTCTTCCTTTGCCGTTGGTTCACCTTCCAATGGCCGCTGCGGCTGGCGCACTGCGGCCGGTGCACCGCGCTGATCTGATGGCAGGAGCCAGGTACTTATCCTGGTCTCCCATGGGGTGCAGGGCCCAAGTACTTGGGCCATCCTCCACTGCACTCCGGGGCCACAACAGAGAGCTGGCCTGGAAGAGGGGCAACTGGGACAGAATCTGGCGCCCCGACCGGGACTAGAACCCGGTGTGCCGGCACCGCAAGGCGGAGGATTAGCCTAGTGAGCCGCGGTGCCGGCCTACGTACTGCTTTTTAAGATATCTCTTCTCTTAGGGTTCTTAGGCAAAACGTATAATCCTGAGAACTATAAATTAAATTTTTTCCTGACTGGTAGAACACGTTTTTTGCAAATCAGAAAAAAACATACTAACTTAGTAGGCTCAAAGCTGTTCTTGTTTGGCAGTTTACCTTGCTGTACGTACACATACACACACAACCCAAAGGTAATGGGAGAAACATAATGAAGCCTGACCGTCTGAGCAGGCTTCCTGTGGCCTCGTGCTCTGGGATGTGTGTATGTTCAAGCCTGAGAATGTCCTGGAAGAGGTGGCGTCAAGGCAGGACCACTAAAGTCACTGGGCTTAAACCTAGGCCACCTGCTGCTGCTGGCGTGACCTCGAGCAGGGATTTCCCTGAACACCAGGATTCCCTCTTCTGCTTTTGATTTCACCTTCCCGTCTACAACCACAAGAACACCTACTGCTTTCTTAGAGCTGGTTATGTGCCAGACGCTATGTGAGGAGCCCTGTGTACATTAATTCTTATTTCTGCCAGAAGATGTCATCATTTTCACTTTCCAGAAGAGATTAGAGAGAGGGTTTAGAGAAGAAAAACCGTTCTGGCTTGAGGGGAAGAGCATGGGCTGATTTCTGCCTTGGGTTCTGCCGCTTTTCCAGCAAGCCAGTGAATGCTTGAATCTGTGATGTGCGGCTTAAGAGCTACAAATGAGCCAGCACAATAAATCCCCTGATCGTGGCGCATGGCTCATGGGAGGTCTGAGTTTTCCTTGATAAAAATTCATAGTCAGAGACTTATGGCTGGAATATGGTGGCAAAACTTAGTAAGAACTATTCAGTAATATTCATTTGCTTTGTCTTTGAAATAGTTTAGTCCTTGGGATTCATCTCAGTGAAATAATTTAAGAGGAGAAAAAGCTACAAGAACAGATTTGTTCATTTACTCATCATTTAACCACCATTTATTAAGCTCATCCTCTGTATCTTACACAGTTAAGGATGGGAATATAGACCCTCTCTGTCATAGAATACTTTATCCATGTTACTTGAGAGCAAAGAATTTAAAATGCAGCAAGGTAGTTAGTATTAGGCAGATGGTTAGGTAAACAACGATGTGCTAAGTCGATTGACTGTTGTGTGGACATTAAAAATGGTAATATGGAGTCCTGTGTAGAAACAAGAATATTTGAGTTCAGTTAAGGAAGTAGTAAAATTGTCTGTAGATGTTATGGAGTATTCAACTATGTTTACAAGTTTCTATTTGGATAAAAAGAAAGATGTACATAAAAATGAAAATAATTTCCCTTGTATAGTAGGATTTGGATGATCTTTTAAAAATTTATTTGCTGTCCCATGTTTTTGGCTTCTAGTAGAATTTTTTAAGAGTAGTATGGCAATAGAAATGTAATGAATACTGACTGAAAGGATCAGAAGATAATGTTCTGTTCTACATCTAAGAATGTTCACCCATCACCTCGCTGCTTCCTCCCCACAGGGCCATGTGAAACTCTCTGACTTTGGTCTTTGCACAGGACTGAAAAAAGCACATAGGACAGAATTTTACAGGAATCTGAACCACAGCCTGCCCAGTGATTTCAGTAAGTGTGAACCTAATGCTGGCCTCTTTTCCTTAACTGAGCCTAGAAGAGCCATTTCCTTGGTAACTGCATTACGTAGGACAGATAGGAGATTCTCACAACCAGACTTTTTAGAGAATAAAAATACCTTCCAAGATTTGCCTGTGGTTGTTTTGTCCAGGAGGGCAAGATGAGTGCTATCAGATGTGTTAAGGCAGCTGTTGAAAAGCGCGTTTCTTTCAATCCCTCCTGGGAAAGTTACTGGAGACGGATGTGGGGGAGGCAAGCAGAAGCAGTCAAGAAAAAAGTCCTGGAAACAGCTCCAGACTAGATTTATCCTCAGTGCCTCCCTTCTTCCTTCCTTCCTTCCTTCCTTCAGAGAGAGCAAGAGAGAGAGAGAGAGAAGAGAGAGAGAGAAAGATTGATCTTAGCTGCTAGTTTACTTCCCAAATGCTTACAACAGCTGAGTAGGGCCAGAATGAAGCAGGGAGCTGGAAACTCAATTCACGTCTCGTCTCCCATGTGGGTGACAGGGACCCAAACACTTGAGCCTCTAGCAAGCCCTACCTCCCAAGGGTGTGCATTAGCAGAAAGTTAGGCTCTTGTGTGGAGCCAGGCCTCCAAGCCAGGCACTCCCAAATGGACTGAGAGCATCCTAACCGGGGTCTTAACCCCTGAGCCGATGCCTGTCCCCTCCGTGCTTCCTTCTGCTCGAGCACTTTCACATCACTGAGAACTATGAAGAACAACTGACAGTTCATCCCAGAGGAGTTTATGTCAACGGGCCATACATTCAGAAGTCCCTGAGTATATAACAACTGACTGCTCTTGGAAATTTGATGATGCTTTTGAGAAATTGTGAATGTTTTAGGTTCACTTCAGGGTCTTTGCTTCTGGTTGAGATGTAATTCCAGTTCAGGCCCGTGTCCCCTTAGCCCACTCAGTCCTCATAGAGGCGCTGTATGCCACTCTCACTGTGTTGATTCTTGTAGTTAATGGTTTAGAACCTCTGATTGGACTTAAAGGCTTGCAAGGAAATGAGTCATTCAAAGTTTTTGAAATATGGGTAGAAAAGCAAGACTTTAGAATTTCATTATGACTTGAACTGGAGCCCAAGAAAGCAGTAAACATTCCTGCCTGAACTTTATTTAGAACTTGTTTTCTCTATTTTTAGCATTCCAGAATATGAATTCCAAGAGGAAAGCAGAAACCTGGAAAAGAAATAGACGTCAACTAGTAAGTAATATCTGTGGGTTTTGAAGTGCTACAAGCCAAGTATGAATATGTTTTTTAAAATGCACATAAATTTGTATTTGATGAATACTTGCATCATATCCCTTGCTTTTAAGATTACCTTAATAGGATGCTGTGTTTATGTTGATAACACCAAAAGGGTAGATCATGTTAGGTTGTTTGATTGTGATATTCTCAATGGGAGATCTCATTCTGAGCTCTCAGGCTGGTAACAGTACCTTTCTTTCATATTTTACCTATTCCCCGTGTTTGTGGTGGTGAAGGGGTAACATTTAAGTTGGAGGTCCCACAATGAAACTGACTGCAAATACTTACCTGGGACTTTCAGCATTGCTTCTTACAATTTTTTAAAAATATTTTACTTATTTATTTATTTCAGAGGTAAAATTACAGACAGAGGGAGAGGCAGAGAGAAAGGTCTTTCATCCATTGGTTCACTCCCCAAATGGCCTCAATGGCTGGAGCTGGGCCAGCAGGAGCCAGGAGCTTATTCCAGGTCTCCCACATGGGTGCAGGGGCCCAAGTGCTTCTTCTGCTGTTTTCCCAGGCCATAGAAGGGAGCTGGATTGGAAGTGGAGCAGCCGGGACTCAAACCAGCGCCCATATGGGTGCCAGCATTGCAGGCAGAGGCTTAGCCTACTATGCCACAGCACCGGCCCTGCCTCTTTGATCCACTTCAGGAAGTCTAGACTCTTCATTTCATCTGTCCCACCCTGTCTCTCTGCGATGAGAAAAAGTACTTAGTAATAAAAATTGGAGAAAAATATGCTGAAGTATAACATGCATGTTGTATGTCAGAATGATGACCATGCACACTTGTATTGTCTAGAAATAGTACTTCTGCATGTCCGCATGTACAGTCTAATTTGGCAGGTTTGCCCAGTGTTATATTTCAGCAAGGCCTCTTAGTAAAATACTGATTTATAGTTCTCCGTTAACTCACCTAGTAGGTCAATAGGAAGTAGATGTCAATGTTAAGTGAAGATGGAAGCCTGTGGGACTGTTTAAGTAAGACATTTTTTAAAAAATTTGCTTGAAGCTTGTCATTGGGTCTCAGACTTTGAGTATTACGGTTTTTTATATTAAACCTGGGCCCTAGGAGAGGCATTCAGTAAATGCCTTCAGGGTGCGGTGACGGAAATGAATCTTTGATGTGTTTTATAACATGAACTTGGGGGTACTGCAGTTTCGGATGATTAGTCCCAACAGTCTCCTTTCCCTTGGAGCTCGGACAGTCTTTTAAACTGCTAACTGCTGCTTGTGGTTCACAGACTGTTTCCGTAGATCACTGAGGGCTAGGGGCATCAGGAACATTTGTGGTCACATGCTTCTGCTACGTCTCCCTTGGAGCAGTAGTTCTTAATGTGACTACACATGAGAATCACTTGGGGAGCTTGGGACCAGCCTGATGTCTGGGTCCCACCCACAGCGATTCCGGTTCGGTTGGTCTGAGGTACCGTCTGGATAGCTGAGTTTTTAGACTCCAGGTGATTCTCCTGTGGAGATTGGGATCCTCCACTGAGGAGACTGTCGGGAGTGAGAGCTCCCGCAGTGTTGGGAAACTGTGCTTTGGAAGCTAAGGCAAGGGAAGAAAGCTTCTGTGACGCTTTGTCCTTTTTAAAGCAGTCCTGGGTTTCACCTCTCGTTCCTGTGCTGCCACTTGTTTGGAGAGTGTTTCAGTTCCTCACCTTGTCCTTAGACTTCGACAGAAGCTCTGTGCTCAGGGGGCGGGGCCAGGTTTGCTAGGAACCATAATGAAGGAGGTGTCACTATGTCCATATTTGGAGTTAAGTGACATTTCGTAGTTTAAGTGAAATCTTTGAGAATTTGAATAAACTTGAAAACCCTGGTGCTGTGACTAGGGTTCTTAACTTTTTGTCCTAGCCACAGTAGAAACAGAAAACTGAGTGTTAACTTAAAGAAAATAGTCACTTTTCTGTCTTCTACATGTAATTTCCACGTTACTTTGACCTTCTGTGAGTGATCAGGTTTGGCTGGTACCCAGTAGAAGATGGGCACTAGTTAATGTGTAGCATAAATGTGCTGGTCTTGGGTAAGCCTGAGATGTGTAGTTGCCTACCCAGCATACTACTTGTTAGTTCATGGAGAATCCCTGGAAGAAGTGAGGACTTCGGTTTCACTCCTTGGCTACGTACCACTGCATTGCAAAGTTTGAACTTAAGAGGTGCTGGTCGCCCTAAGCCTCAGTGACTGATCAGGTGATAGATACGCCTCAGCTTGAAGTTATTAGACCAGGAAAGTGAGAGATGGTGTACATATAGGCATCTGATCTTTGTCAGTTTGCTTTATCTTTAAGGTAGAATTTATAGGAGTGATAAAGTAGTAAGCTAGGTTACTTTATTTCCTCTAAAACGAAATCATACGGCTAGAACACGTCCTGTGGTTGAAATGACCATTAGCCAACAGACCCCTTCCCAATTGCAGCTCTAAGTGACACTATAAACACTCAGCCCACAGAAGGAAAAAGAAGGGGACAGGTGGCGGAGTTGGACTTGGAGGCCGCTGCCGTGAGAAGGGGCAGCCCCGGCGTGGAAAGGCTGCAGCTGGTGCAGGCAGTGCAGAGCGCGGGCGGTGAGGCGAGAGTGAGCGCCCAGGCGGTACTCGGGTCCCGAGTGGCTACGGTGCTCTCCCTCGGGCTCGAGCCTGCGCTCGGCCATGCTGTGTAAATCCAAGAGGTTTTGTTTTAAACGCTCAGGTGTCTTGCAGGAACTCTTCCTGCGGCAGTTGACCTCTGGTTTTGTAATAGAAATTCTGAACAAATGAGATTTGCTTAGTATTCATCTTTGCTGGAATAGATCTCTCTAATTTAAAGAGGATCTATAGCTTTTTACCTGTGTGATAAGAATAAAACTACGTATGCCTCTTGGGACGATCCAATCCATAGGTCAGACTTGAAAGTTAAAAAAAACCCTGATATTTATGTTATTTAATATTTGTATTTAATAAAACAGCTATGAGTATCTGTATGGAAAAAATGGATCCCTACATTATAGCATATACAAAAGTCAATTTTATCTGGAGAACAGAACTTTAAAAATTTTAGAAGGAAAATATAAGGCTATGTTTTTATGATGTTTGAGTAAGAAAAGGATTTTTTAAATAAGACACAAGTACAAATCATGAAAGAAAAACTTGGCTTGTATTTCTACTTTAATGGAAAAATAACTTTCTGTATATCAAAAGACAAACAAAGGCAAGCCACGTGGTACAACTCCTTCAAAATTGCCCTGCAGGATCTATGTGAACACCCGTCAGTCGCGCAATTCTCCCCTTACTCATAGGCCTTGAAGAACCTCCTTGCACATGTGAACCAGGAAACATGGAGGAGTATTGATTGCATTTTCATAATAGCAAAAACACTGGAAATCACCCAGGGTCCATCTACAGGGAAATGGTTACATTCTGGAATAAAATACAGAAGTGACAGTTACCGAACTTGCAGCTACCAGTGACAACATGGATGAGTTCTAGAAACATAACATTGAGACGAAACATTAGATGTTGTGAAACTGCATAGAACAATACCATTTTACAAAGTGCAAAAATAAAAACTAAGGTTTCATCGAGAGATACTTGTGGCAAAATTAAATTTACTTTTTAAAGGAGTAAAAGGTAAAGATGAAATTGAGCGTAGCCACAAGTGGGAGGGCTGGGTGGGGGTGGGCTGGGGAGAGGCGCACGCGGCGTTCCCAGCACTGGTGTGGCTCTTCAGTTGAACTCATGGGTGCTCCTTTTCATTGTTGTGCTTCAGAATGTGATCATCCCACATGGATGTGTGTGATAGAATTTTTGTTGCTAGGTGACAAATCTTACTTCATTTAAAAAGGTCACGATACAGATAGTAAGCCTCAGACTGGGAGAAGGTATTTGCAATATGTAAAATGTTAAAGAATGAATGTCCTCAGTTCATAAAACATTTCTGTGAGTCAATAAGAAAAAAAAACACAACTGAAAAAAACGAATGGGCAAAGGATCTGAACAGGGATTCACAGAAAAAGGCCAGAACAGCCTACTGACCTATTGGTAGGAGTAAGCGACATGCAAATTCAAACAGAGCGATCCCATTTCATGTTCCTCAGATTGGTAAACTCTAAAATCGGACAGGTCCAGGTGTTAGTGCGATGTGGAGCACCTGGAGCTCATCCCTGAAGGGCTAGTTAACAGGCACAAGCACTTGGGAGGACAGTTGGAAGATGGCTCATCCAGTTGAGCTGCCCATGACCCAAGAGGCAGCAGTGCTACTACAGAGCGTCCCCAGTGTACGCCGAGGTGCAGGTACCGGCAGTGTCGAGGAGGCGTTAGGCGTGCTTGCTCAGGTGCACACTGGAAGCAACGGAAGTGGACAAGAACAATCGTGATTCATTGAGCAGAATGGTATACAGCAGAAAAGTGACTGAGTCTTAAAACCTTAATGATGAATTTAAAAAAGTGAAACAGAATAAGAAGTCATTTATTTATATAAATGTATAAGAAGAAAGACGTTATTTTTGAGTGTATTCATACAAGAACCACACAGCCACTTGAGGACAGTTGTTATTTTCAGTTGGGAGGGCAGGGGGGTTAGATGGGTCAGACCTTTCATAGGTTCAGTGGTTTTGTTTCTTTTTAAAAGACAAATGATCTGAAATAAACACAGGAGATTGTTAACTCTTCACTGTGAGTAACGGGCACAAGTATGTTGTACCGTCTGTGCTTTTCTCCGTGTGCTTGTGACGGGTCATAATAAACGCTTTAAAAAGACTGCCCAGCTGTGGTGTTTAGTTGTAGAAGTTGTGTAAAATGTAAAGCACCTAGGTTGGAGCCTTGCACATGGCCACAGTGTTATGTGCATTGGAAGGCCTTGGCTGCACTTCCTCTCGGTGCATTAGCGTAGAATACGAGAATTTGGAATATGCCCCTTTAATAAGTGTTCACAGAAATGACCAAGTTTGGTATATAAATGTTTGACCTGTAGGATGTAGGTAGCTTTTAAAAGTAAACGATTCCTTTTATGATTTTCTTAGAGCACATACATGGTGGGAAGAGGGGTTATTTGGAGTGAGATACTTAATTTACCACTGGGCTCTGCCACTCAGCTGGGCCTGAGGCCTGCAGCAGAGCCTTTTTGATGGTCATGTTCTTTTATCTGCAAAGTTGAGCTACAAGTCCTCCTTGTGGAAGTTTTGTTACAGAACCTGGTACTTAAAGGATGTTCAATAAATCATGAATACCTTCCTAGATCACTTGAGCTTTAGATAGATGGAGGAAGTGTCTCTTACCTCACTAACAAAGCTTTAGTGTTCATTTTGGAAAGTGCTCTGACAAATCAAGCGTGCCACGAGGCTGCTGGGCAGTCCTGCTGCTTAGTGTGGGGCTAGCTGCAGGTGGCGTTTGCAGCGTCGGTCTCTAGGACAGGACTCTGGGCACCCTCCTGCCTGGCTGGGCCTCCCTGACGTGTGGTACATGTTTCAGGCCTTCTCCACAGTAGGCACTCCTGACTACATTGCTCCCGAGGTGTTCATGCAGACCGGGTACAACAAGCTCTGTGATTGGTGGTCGCTTGGGGTGATCATGTATGAGATGCTCATCGGTAAGTCGCATGCTTTCAGAGGACTCTCTCTGTGCACCCAGGAAGGACTGCTATGCTGGAGCTAGACTGTCTCAGCGGGGCTGATCTGAACACTTCTCCCTTGTCTTTCAAAGTGAAGTTTCCCAGGTAGACCACTCTGAATCGCATGCATCCATGGTGTCCTCAGCTTGCTGGCGCCCTGTGGCTGCTTTGCTGATCCTTTGTTGTGTTTTCCTTTCTCCGTGTTTTCCTCCTCTCCGCCTAGCAGCTCTTTTAGTCACTGGCACGTAGCAGACAGCCGCTGTGTGCAGAGAGCTTTAACTGGGTGTTTCCCCGCTCTTCTAACTTGCTCCCCTCTTTCTCTCTCCAAGCCATTGAAGCATGGAACCCCGTGGCCTCTCTCTTGCTTGGATGGTGTGTCTCTGTAGATGGGGGTAGCCATGCACCACTGAGAGCTAGGAGAGTGTGTATTGGAGTCCCATGCATGGCTGGCTGTGCAGTCTGGCTGGCTGTGTTGTCGTGGCCGGGTATTGGACTGATGGCTGTGTAGGTAGACATACCCTGTGTGGAGGGCAGGTGGGGTGACAGGGTATGTAGTGTTTATCCTCTTCCCTGTAGTTTTCAAAAAAACCTATGCTTGTTTCTTGTTTAGCTTGCTTGGCACTCTCGGCATTTAAGGATAGTCCTAGAATGGAGTCATTAGTTTGTCCTCATTTTTCCTTTGGGCGTGGTGATGACCACATCTGCAACCCTCCCTAAGTCTTCCTTTTTCCAGCTCCAGCTGTTGGCCGGCTTCCTAGTGGCACCAGGAGCATTTAGGAGTTTGGGGGGGAAGGAGAAGCTGACTCGGCATTTTCTGGGACGAGTGGAACTCATGCCACGTCCTGGAGGAATGGCCATAGAGAAGCTGGCTCGGCGTTTTCTGGGACGAGTGGAACTCATGCCACGTCCTGGAGGAATGGCCATAGAGTGCAACCCAGGAGTCATTAAAGACACAGACTCGTGCTTGAGAGGCCTCTCAGCCAGATTTTGGAAAGTGCTGGGGCGTAAAATCTCCCAAGTTCCTTTTTTATTACAGGCTACCCACCTTTCTGTTCTGAGACCCCTCAGGAGACGTACAAGAAGGTGATGAACTGGAAAGAAACTTTGACTTTTCCTCCGGAAGTTCCCATCTCTGAGAAAGCCAAGGATCTAATTTTGAGGTATCTGAGGACATCCTTAGTGCCCCTACCAAGACTCTTTGGCATTGAACTTTATCTCCTGAGTGGACCTTTGCTTCTTCCCTTTACTCTCAAAAAAAAAAAAAAAAAAAGAGAGAGAGAGAGAGAGAAAGGTTATTTTTTTTCTCTTTCTGAAGGTAAGGCCTCTGTCTCTTCCAGATTCTGCTGTGAGTGGGAACACAGAATTGGAGCGCCAGGAGTTGAGGAAATCAAATGTAATTCTTTTTTTGAAGGCGTTGACTGGGAACACATCAGGTACACCCATGTAGAAACTGCCTGGGTTGTTTCAGAGTCTAGTTTGCTTACTACCAATTTGGAAAGACCAGCATTCGCTTCTTAGACATGTAGTGTCTGTTCCTGGTTCTCGCTCATGGTACAGATTTGGTGTCCAGCGTCCTGCTCACGTACCATGAGGTGTTGCACACAGTGAGGCGACCTCTGGTGTCCCGGCTAAGGGAGCATCTAAGAAGCACACTGCCCTCTTTCTCTACAGAGAACTCGGCGGCCTCTGCAACCCTGAGGGTCCCGGCAGGACTGCCCCTGCCTCCACGGCAGAGGCTCTCACTGGGAGACAGGGGAGGGAGGAGCGGAAGGAGGACTGGGGAGAAGGTGGTCCGGGAGCTGGGAAGGGGCAGTGCAGGTTATTACGGCGGGGGTGGCAGGGTACGGCCCTGGCCCGGAGCACCTGGCCCCCGTCATAGCCCGGCTGCCTTCCTCAGCGTTCATTGGTTGCTAACCAGAAGGTGAAGAATTCGTCCTCTCTTTTCTCGTTGTGTTCGACTTACACCCTTGTGATTTCTGCCTGGCCTCTCTACTGATGGTAACTCCCGTGGGAGGAGCGCGGAGCCCCACACAAGGGGATCCCGCAGGGTTTGGCTTCCCTGCCCGCGCAGTAGTCGGGCAGGCCTCAGGGGAGGGGGAGCGCGTTAAGGTTGAGTTTTAGCTCCTCAGTATCACTTCTTCCAGTTGTGAATGACTGGTTGCAGTTCCACCTTTGCCATGTATTTGGTTTGGAGACAGTCGGCTGACTTGGTTGGTCAGCATTCAGAGAAAAGCAACGCCTCCCGCCAGTGAGAGGCCTTCCCCGCGTCGGACCAGGGATCTTTGTGGAAGCAACGCAGTTATTAACCATAGTAACTGTGGCGTGTCTGTTCTTGGCAGGGAGAGACCTGCTGCGATATCTATTGAAATCAAAAGCATTGATGATACCTCAAATTTCGACGAGTTTCCAGAATCTGATATCCTTAAACCAACAGGTAATACCGCTGCTGCCTCTTAAGCACGTTCGTCGCCCCTCCGCTCGGGGTGATGCTCACAAGTCCGGGCGGAGGAGGTGGCGAGGCGCTCCGTTCTCCAGATCCCTCCTAAGTGGATTCCCAGTGCTGCTGGGGGGAGCGGGGGGCCCTGGCTGAAGGAAAGTGAGCACACGCCCTGCCTTTGGAGCACTCCGCCGCTGGTGGGAGCCGCACGGCTCCGTGCCTGTGTTGTTAAATTCAAAGAGTAGGAATGTGAAACGGCAGGAATGCAAAGGTAAAACTTGAAAAGCATTTGAGAATAAATGTGATGTTCAAAGGACACAGGCAAGCAAACGTAGAGAAGCCACAGAGAGAACGAGAGCCCTTCCACATAGAGTCTGGCGAGTGCGCAGGACGTCCTGTGCGCTGGGCCCAGTGGTTTGTTGAGTAAGGCAGTGAAATCCGCTCTCACGTCTGTTTCTTCCCCAGTGGCCACCAGTAACCACCCTGAGACCGACTACAAGAACAAAGACTGGGTCTTCATCAATTACACCTACAAGCGCTTCGAGGGCCTGACTGCAAGGGGGGCTATCCCTTCCTACATGAAAGCAGCCAAGTAGCCCTGGGCCCGGGGTCCTGGATGGCCAGAGCTCTCGGTACAATGTCGTGGTCTCCTCCCACACTCTAGAAAGAGCTTCCGCGAAGCGGCGAAGCCCATCGGTGTACATAGTAAAGTTCCTGCGATGTGATCCTCCCGCGTGCCTCTGAGAACAAAGACAGAACGTCCTGCCGCGTCAGCCGCACACAGCTGTCCTGCTTCAGCGCCGCCTCCGGGCCCCGCCGAGGGGTGCGGAGGAGCCTGGAGTTCCCTGAGCGCGTCAGGATGCGGGGGAGGCATCGTCCTCCACCACGATCAGTGTCGTGGGTTCTCACAGGGTATCAGCCAGTCCTGGGACGCTGCGACAACGCTGTTTGCCAAGCCCGCGAGTATTGCTCTGTGTATAGCCAAAGTTCCGCAGTTCCGCGACAATAAAGCAATAGTCAGAGTCTCAGCAGCCGGCACCCTGGCTGAAGGTGGCCCGCCAGCCTCAGGCTGATGGCGGTGGCTTCTCCCCCGCGTCGGCCGTGGGCGAGTGCTGGTTCAGCCTGCGTTCATGGTGCACTTTATTTATGGTACTAGGATCAAGACAGTCCACCGTGTAGCTCCCAGCTCCTGTCCGTCTGAGACACTCGTGCTTTTCTGAATGTCAGGTCGGGGGGCACCAGCCCCATCCGCCGTTGCTCTTCCAAGGCCCTGCTGCCAGTGGCGTTGTCAAGGAGCCTGGATCCCACGGGAACTCGCGCTTCCAGAAAATCCCCGTGGCAGGTGTTGCCCTGGCGCGGCAGTGCCTGCAGGTGCTACCCACAGGAGCCCGGTCGGTCCCCGGGCACACGGCCAGGACAGCCCGGGCAGGGCACAGGTGCTGCTCCTGCTCCCGTGACGTCCTCAGAGGGAACAGCCCGTGGGAAGTCAGAGCCGGCCGGCGGGTCCCGCAGAGTTCACGCCTCGAGCCCCAGGCAGCCCACTGTCTGTCTCTCCCGCTCTCAGTGTTTCTCCTCTCCCAACTTGAAGTAGCCATTTTGCCTTGGAATCACGACCACAGAATTCTCCTTTGCAGGTGCCTTCCTGGGGACAGCCCTCCATGACGGTCGCCCGCAGCCGTGCTGTTCTCTCCGGAGAGGCCCCCTGGATGTAGCACGAAGTGCCTTCTCTCACAGCTGCCACCGCCTTCAGAGGAATTCTGTGTCAGGAGCACGTGCAGGCTCCTTACTGACGCATGACTACTTTTTGACAAAAAGTTTGCTAACCGAAAGCATCGTTTGCACCTGTGTGGTCGCTTTGCCCGTCGCGAGCTGTAAGCAGGTGACCGCCTTCTGCCAGCCTTGAGGGTGTGAAAGTCAGCTTTGAAGGGAAAGCATGTCCAGCCCAGCCACTCGGAAGAGAAATGGAGGAGCAGCAGTTCGAGTGGTGAGTGAACCGGCTTCAGGTTTTCACGTTGGAGGAGGAAGAACGAACGCTGGGAAGTTGGCTTTGGACGAAGGGAACGTGCTCGCCCCTTCACCTTGCATCCACGGCCTGTGGTGAGAGGAAGAAGTGAGACTGCTGTGTTCCTCTGCCGCCTCTTGGTCTTAGCGGACGGTGGGGCTTTGACCCCGATGTCTCGCAGGAACGTGTGGTGAGCACGGAAACGGGAAGCAGCAACGAGGGTGTGGTAGTGCGCATGCGGGAGCGGCCCTAGGGGAGATACCCACGTTTAACTTGGAAACTTCTCAATAAACGGTGTGCAACAGCGGGAAAGTCTGGTGTTCTAAGCAAACGCGGCCTGTGACCTGCGGCGGGTCCTTTGGCCGCAGGCCATCACTAGCCACGGTGCCACACCAAGTGCTTCTGTGTCCCAGAGAAGCCGGAGCTGGCCTTGTCGTCAGGGACTCTGTCCTCTGAGCTGCTGTCCCCACACACGCCCCCTCAGCTGGGGGCTCGGCTGTCAGGTCACCTGCTGACAGAAGTGCTGCCAGCTGGCGGGCCTTTGTTCCACTCTCTACAGCCCGGCCCCATCCCCAGGGGTCTCGCAGGCTCGGGGTGGACGCCTGCGCCCTCCATGGCCACCAGGGCACGGGTGTCTCTGAGATGTTGTGGACCAAGGTGCCACCTCTCAGCCCCTTTCTGGGGAAGCCTCAGGGAGAGGCCAGGAGAGGCAGCGTTCATCAGAGTAGAAGCTGCGGGCAGAGGGAGGCCAGGTGCAGCCTGGGCAGGTAGGGCTCAGGGTTCCGACACTCAGTGTTGATCCTATCACTGGGGGAGCTAGAAAATAATAGAACTTGTACATTTCAAAAAAAAAAAGTTGAAAAAGATTTACTTATTTATTTTGAAAGTCAGAGTTGGGGCGGGGGAGGGTGGGGAAAGGGATTGATCTTCTACCCGCCGGTTCACTCCCCAGATGTCTGCAAGTCCCAGGCTGGGCCAGGCTGCAGCTAGGAGCCAGGAGCCTCCTCCGGTCTCCCACATGGGTGGCAGGGTCCCTCTGCTTTCCCCAGGCCATTAGCGGAGCTGGCCTGTAAGCAGAGCAGCTGGGACACATCCCCTGTGGGATGCTGCTGTCACAGGTGGCGGTGTCACCGCTACACCACACACAGGCCCCAAAAACCAGAATGTTAACCATTCTATTAATAGAGCGTCAGTGCTTGTGAAAGTGAAACAGTACTTAGGTCCTGCAGCACATTCTTGACTTGAGTGCATCAGAATTCTCTTCAGTACCTCACTTTTGTTAGAACTGCTTTCAAAAGAGAGATTCGGGTGAGTTCCTTCAGGGTTAATATCCGGGTTCTAAACAGCTGATTGCTAACTGGAAGACTTACCTGTGGCATCATACGAGTCCTGTGCATAACACAGCACAGAGCTACTCTATATCCTTTGTCTCTCTGGGTGTCCCTGTAACTCAAAAGATTTTTTCTTTTTAACATTTTTCTTTGAAAGGCAGAGTTACAGAGATGTAGAGGCAGAGAGAGAGAGAGACAGAGAGAGTCTTCCATCCACTGGTTCACTCCCGACATGGCCACAACAGCCAGGCTAGGCCTATCTGAAGCCAGGAGCCAGGAGCTTCTTCCTGGTCTCCCACGCGGGTGCAGGGGCCCAAGGACTTGGGCCATCCTCTGCTGCCTTCCCCGGCCACAGCAGAGAGCTGGGTTGGAAGTGAAGCAGCTGGGACTGGAACCAGCGCCCATATGGGATGCGGGTGCTGCAGGAGGCAGCTTTTCCTGCCCCACCACAGTGCCAGCCCCCAAATGATGTTTTGATTGAACGTGGTCCAGTGAATGCTACTTTGATTTCCTTCATGTTTCCCTGGAATGGTCTATCAAGGTCAGTCTTGACTTAAAAAAAAAAAAGCCTCCATGATGCTTTTCACTCCTATTTTCAGGAAAACAAACACCAAATTGTCCAAAACTTTCAGCTCGGCCCCGGGCTGTGGGTGTGCAGCGGGGAGACCGCCAGGCAGGCAGCCGTGCTGACCAGCCGCCACAGGTGTGAGTGGCTTATTTAGTAGGGATCTGCAGAGGGGAAAGAGGGCTGGCAGCTGGGGCCTGCGCTGTGGTGAAGACATGGAGCTGTAGTAAATACCACTTTGGGGAGAGTGGCGTGACACTGCCACCACTTGGTACGTACGTCCTCAGTTCCCTCTCCCCTCCAACCTGACCCGTGGGCAAGCGTGTTAGTATTAACGTGAGCATTCACTTCCATGGAAGTTACTCTTCTGGCCGCTGGTGTTCTGCCCTCTCCAGTGGAGTCTGCATTCTCAATCTTAGTGGATACCTGCTGCACTCCTCCCATGGGGAACTTTTCTTTAAACTCTCCCACCCTGACTGCCTTCTTGGCAGCTCCTCTGCCTGCCACTTAAATGCTGGTGCCCCTCACTCCTCACCTCTTGCTGATCTCCCCAACACCGTGGCTTCAACTCATTACTTCTGTAATGAAGCCTTCAAAGACCCTTTTTGGAAACATTTATTTATTTAGAATCATCTGCTGGTTCATTCCCTAAATGGTTGCGACAGCTGGGACTGGGCCAGGCCAAAGCCAGGAGCCTGGGACTTTCTCTGGGTCAGACAGAGGTTCAAGCATTTGGGTCAACTTCCGTTACTCTCCCCAACACTTTCAACGGAGCTGGATTGGAAGTGGAGCAGCTGGGACTCAAATGGGCTGTCATAAGGGATGCTGGTGTCAAAGGTGTCACGTTGACCACCACTCCACAACACTTGCCCCTCCTCACTTGCTTTCTCTACAGATTGATTGATTGATTTGAAAGGCAAAGCTGGAGAGAGAGGAGACGGGGTCTTCCATCTGCTGGTTCACTCCCCAGTTGTCTACAACAGCCAGAGCTGTGCTGATCAGGAGACAGTTCCAGGTCTCCCACGTGGGTGCAGGGGACCCAAGGATTTGGGCCATCCTCCGCTGCTTTCCCAGGCCACAGCAGAGAGCTGGATCAGAAGTGGAGCAGCCGGGACATGGACCAGAGCCCCTATGGGAAGCTGGTGCTGCGGGTGGTGGCTTAACCCACTACGCTGGCCCCATAGTGTGTGGATCCCTTTATCGTTCAAGTTTTCATTTAGCTTTGTGGGGTTCTGCTTAGTTGAATCTGTGTTCAAATGGTCTTGAGTGCAAATCAACCAGGACCTCGGAAGGCAGCCCATTAAGGGCTCTGGAACCTCTGGGTTGTAAATACCAGAGCGGCAAGACCTGCAGGCCCCCAGCGAGGCCCCGTCTCCTCCTGGAAAGGAGCACGCGCTTCTGGCCACTGGGCAGTACCCTGTCAGTCCCTTTTAACATCCCCACACCTGGTTTCATTTCTGCTAAGAACGACACGGACACACAAATGATAATATTTTATTATAGAAAAGAATCCCAAATGCAGGATTTCGTAAACACTGGTAGGTGAACAAGTGCAACTTTCGAAATGGATACAACGTAGAGAGAAAACCTACAGGCATTTTGCCTTTAGGAGAAAATGCTCCCCTGCAGGGGGCCGCCCAGAGCACAGCTGTGCTCCCGCTCCCCGTTTGAACAGTTCCAAAATGAGGCAAGAAGTAGCACTGAACAGACTGCCAAAGTCCCTTGGTTTGTAACGTTCTATTGACACTTGATAAAACAAAACTTTATGATTGTTGAAGCCTTGCTCTGGGTACTGGATTTCAGACGCTTTGGAGCACTATTTCCAAGTACATCTCCGCCCACGCTTGATCCCACAGTTACGTGCATAGACCCGTATCCATCCTCTATCACTCTGGACTCTTGGAATTTAGTTTAAAATTAGTACTGGCTGTCGCCTACCACACAGTAAATCTAGCAGCTGCTTTCTGTCGTCCTTACACATTTTGCTGTCATTGTTCTCTTTTCCTGGACTTTGGAGAAATCCTGAAATAACCCGACACGTGTTAACACTGCTTCCTCTCCTGTGCCCCACAACACGATTCCTCACTGGCACTACATGATGTGGTGAGACTCTCGACCCGACTCAGATGAGCTCTGAGCGACAGCCTGGGTAGAACCATTTTCTCATCAAAGTGTTTCTGGATGAACAACCTAGCTCGCTTATTTAGGCACTTAGAAAGAACACCAAACCCAATCCCACCTCTGAGTGGAGAGAAATGCCTCTTGCCCATCTGGCTAGGAACTGGCTCGTACGGGGATGACTGCAGCCCACTGAGGCCTCGCCATTATGGGATGTCCTGACCCCAGGAACGGGGAAGGCATGGCTGAGGGCGCCTCCAAGTTACAGTGATGCTGAGCTCTAGGTCGGTGCAGAAATTTTCCTCCTTTAGAAAGAACCTGTGGCCCCAGCTATTCCTGCAGGCGCCACCACTGGGTGGCGCCAGGAGACACACGTCACCTCAAGGGTTGGGGCCAAAAGCCTGTTAACCCAATTCGGGGGGTAAAGTCCTAGAAAGCTTGAGGAAACTGACACAGAGCAAGGGTTCAAGCCCATTTCACCAAGTAAGCACTAACCGAGGTGTCGGCTGTGTGTGCGGACACGCAGAGTTTAACAAGACCTAAGCCGGCACCGAAGTCACACGTGTCACAGGGCACACAAACATGACAGCTCGGCGTCCTCTGTGGTGGTAATGAAAATCCACCGAGAGGCTCACCGGAAGCACCGTGAAGCGCTGGCCGAGGCTGCCCAGCTGCCCCCGGCGGGAACGCGGGGCCGGCGAGGACAACGGCCGAATCTGACCCCAAACGTGAGCCAGCTGCTTTCTGGTACACACACCCCGAGTCTTCCCCCAGCCTCGATGGCCGTGCGGCGCGGCTGCCAGGGGACAACAGCAGAGTCCACCCTGACCTGCTCACACCCACAGAGCAGCCCTGAAACCCCCCCTCCCCCGGGGCCTGGGAGGGGCTTTCCCAGCTGCCTTGGGGCCTGGGGCCAGGCCATTCAAGGAGCTTGTCCTCCAGTATCCTGGAAGAATGGAATTTACTCCAAGAACTCCAGGTAACTGTCTCTTCACAGTGAGGGGTGCAGCTGAGGCGGGTGATTGGAGGGTCAGCTTCTCCCACAGGGTGGGAGATACTCCCCGGAGTCTCTGGAGCCCCAGGCTGAGGCTTAGCTCTGCTGTTCACAGCCATGGAGAGCTCGAGGCACGGCGGCCGGGGAGTGCCCGGGCTGCCTCCACCCACAGTCACCACAGCTGGTCAGTCTGCTCCCAGCCCAGCCTTCCCGTGGCGTGAGTGCTGGTTTCTTACCAGGTGAGTGGCTAACTGGCTAGTTCCCCAGGTGAAACACACCGCTGCGGGGAAGCCTCCCCTGTTCAAGCCGGCGGCTGGACAGCCTGCTCAGGGGGCTCCCAGCCCCTGGAACTCCTGATAAAACAAAACTGCTGCACTCATCTTGAAAGCTTTTAAGTCCTAGCTCAGCTCTCCGAGCCACACCCACGGCACCGGGCCGCCCTTGGGTGTCCAGACCTGCGGCTTCGCACCAGCTTCCGAGCCAGAATGACCCAGCTGGCCCGATGTGGGGCCGCGCTCCTGTAGCTGAGCTGCTTTCCAAATGATCACCCGTAGACTGAGTCTGAAAAACTGAATCTAAAAGTTTCATAAACAGTTGCACCCCTACTCTTCCTGCCGGAGAGCCCGTCGTGTGGCTCTGGACTGTTGGCGGCACTCACGAGGACTCCAGCTCGGAAGAATCCCCTCTGGGACATCGTGATTAAGAGCCACGTTCTCCGCGGACGCAGCCGGGGGCGTCCTCCGTGGCTCCGCTGAGCACCCCACGAGTGCCTGCCTTTAGAAGGCAGAGGCTGTCATCTTTAAGTTTGGTCCCCTTGCTGCTAGGCAGTGTGCCCGGCGTGGAACACGACCAGCAGAAGCCAAGACCAGAGCAGAAAGGGGAGGACTGCACGGAGTCCCGACTCCTCTGCTTCTGTGGTTACGCAGACCCAGTGAGCAGCGCCAGGCCCCATTGTTTTAGATCAGCCGGGCGGCTGCCAAGCTGGCCAGTAGCTATGTGAGTGCTCCTTCATCTCCGCCGGGGACGGGAGAGGCCAGGAGAAGCGGGTCTCTGCCCAGGGCAGGCCGGGAGCTCAGGCGGCGGTGGGCCCACAGCTGGCTCAGTCCTGAAAGTCACTGGAAGCCATGTGAGAGAGTGGGGCATTCAGCCGGTCGAGCTCGTCGACCTGGGGCGGGTGGTGCATCAGGACCTCCTGGTCCTCCAGGACGTCCTCTCCGGCCGCCACCAGGTTCGTGAGGGACTTGCTCCGGACACACTGGAAGTCCACGTGGCGGCTCTTCCCCTCCTCCTTCTCCCAGGACATCTGGATGAAGGGGCGCTGCACGTAATTGTAGATCACCTCGGACCGCCCCCCGGGTCGTCTCTTGATTTTCTCTTTACAGGTAGGGTAGCCTGAAACACAGGAGGAGGCCGCTCTCAGGACTCTGGCAACTGGGAACACTCTCGCAGCCATACTTTCTGCTTCCTAACACATTCATTTCCAAACCCAAAGACAGCCAGAAGAACCATGTGGGGAGTGACCTGTCACTGCTCCAGGCCCCCTGCCCAGCCTCCTGCATGCGCTGTCCCCGCCTGCTCAGGTGAGCAGCTCTGGTGCCCCGAAGGAAAAACAGAAGGAGAGTGACGAGACTTCCGGCCCTTGTGATGGGAGGAGGAGAGAAGCCTCTTAAATGAAGTTTCAGGAGACTTTAGTTGCTGGTAGAAGCACCACAGAGAAATCCTGCCAGGGCAAGGCTACCCCAGTCTTCTGGTTCTGTTGCTTGGAAGGCATGCTGTGTGAGAGAGTCAAGCACATGTGTCGTGCTGGCCTACAAAACAGGGATGTGGCCAAAAATACCTAGAAGGCTGTCCCATGCTGCAAATGAGCAGAGCCAGAAGGCAGGGTTTCAGATGAGCGGAAACATTTTCTTTCTTTCTTTTATTTATTTATTTATTTGACAAGCAGAGTGGACAGTGAGAGAGAGAGACAGAGAGAAAGGTCTTCCTTTGCCCTTGGTTCACCCTCCAATGGCCGCCACGGCCGGTGCACAACGCTGATCCGAAGGCAGGAGCCAGGTGCTTCTCCTGGTCTCCCATAGGGTGCAGGGCCCAAGCACTTGGGCCATCCTCCACTGCACTCCCTGGCCACAGCAGAGAGCTGGCCTGGAAGAGGGGCAACCGGGACAGAATCTGGTGCCCCGACTGGGACTAGAACTCGGTGTGCCAGTGCCACAAGGCGGAGGATTAGCCTAGTGAGCCGCGGCGCTGGCTGGGTGGAAACATTTTCAATGGGTGGTTAGGCGGGCCACCCTGGGAGACGACGTGGTCCCTATCACTGTGCCCCTAGGCTTTCCCAAGGGATGAAAGACACCATGGAGGGGCCGGCGCTGTGGCACAGGGGGTCAAGTAGCCGCCTGCAGTGCCGGCATCCCATATGGGCGCTGGTTGGAGTCTCAGCTACTCCTCTTCCGATCCAGCTCTCTGCTATGGCCTGGGAAAGCAGTACAAGATGACCCAAGTCCTTGGGCCCCTGCACCCATGTGGGAGACCCAAAGGAAGCTCCTGGCGCCTGGCTTCGGATTGGCACAGCTGTGGCCATTGCGGCCAACTGGAGAGTGAAACAACGGATGGAAGATCTCTCTCTCTGCCGCTCCTTCTCTATGTAACTCTGACTTTCAAGAAAATAAATAAGTGTTAAAACAAAACAAAAAAAAAAAAAAAAGAAAGAAAAAGAAACAGATGATCTCAAAACTTTCTTCCCACTTCAAATCCCTCCAACATCAGACACAGTGGAGATGCGATGTGCTGGGTGTGCAAAAGCGAGGCAGCAGCAGGGGCAAGCGCTGTGGTGCCGTGGGCAAGCGCTGCCTGTGACACTGGCATCCCATATCCCATACTGCAGCGCCAGCTCAAGTCCAGCCGCCCGCTCAGGCCTGGGAGCCATGCTCAGGGTCCCGGAGAGCTCTGTCGGTAAACCCAGACGCCCCTCTGAGGACTGCAGTCATCCTGAGGTGCTGGGCTCCTCGCCAGGCCCGAGACGCGCTCGGAGCCCGCTCGTGACGCGCTCTTCCCGCCTCCTGTGCTTTGCCCCTGCTGCTCCTGATCCGGAACGTGCGAGTGAGCCCCACCTGCTCCCGGGGCTGTTTCAAAGCGTTCTCCACAGGAGAGAGACTGAAACATGAGGACAAACCGAAACAACGCCGCACTCCTTTAGCCCGGTCTCTGAATGCGAGGACTGGGCTGGGGCCCCAGGTACAGCCTAGCCCCGGGCCCCTGCAGTGCCTGCACACTGACTGGGCTGGTTGTTGGCTGGTTGGTCTTACCTTCAATTCCAATGCGAATATTTTTCAGGCCTCGTTCCTTTAACACTGTTTTAGCAACATCCCGATTCTCAATATATTTGAAGAATCTGTACAGCTTGGAGCTATAAAGAACTGGGGAAAAGAAAAAGTGGTGTTAGTCAAGGAGTGAAGGCCTCTGGAGGGGAAAGGAGACGAGGTAACAGAATCTAAGGACCAACAGTGTACTTGACCACTGATGCCCAAAAACCCAGGTGGGTCAAAGGGCAAATGTTAAATCACACATATACCACAAGAGAAATTTTTATAGTTTCAGGGTAGGGAAGGTCTTTCTGAGTATGAAGCAAAACCTAGAGGCCATAAAAGAAAAATTAATGTAAAAATATAACATCTCTGCCAAAACCATCACCACAAAGCTAAAAAGACAATCACATGGGAAAAATATCTGCAACGCATACTACTGAGCACTAATTTTCTTATTCTATAGAAAGCACAACCACAAATGGGGGCTTCTACAAACCGCTAAGACCAGCTCCTATTTTGTGACGGGTAAAGGCTGGCTCTTACGAAATTCGGGGGTGACTACTTGGTGTCGTGATTAAACTGCCTGCATCCCCTTACAAAGTGCCTGGGTCCGAGTCCGGGCTCTACTTCTGATCCCAACTTCCTGCTGATGCACACCCTGGGAGGCAGCAGTGATGGCCCAAATTCTTAGGTCCCCGCCACATGCATAAGACCAGGACTGAGTTCAGGCTCCTGGCTTCCACCTGACCCCAGCTGCTGCAGGCCTTTGGGGAGTGAATCAGTGGGCGGACGCTCTACCCCACCTCCCCACTGCTCCTGCCCTCTCTCTGCCTTTCAAGTAAATGGAAAAAATAAAAGGTTCAGCCTCATTCAAGAGAATGAGGAGTGCAAATTAAAATTCGTGCCAATCATGAGAATTTATCTGCATATTAAGAGAGTGGAGGGGGCCAGCATTGTGGCGCAGGAGCTTAATTAACACCCTGGCCTGAAGCAATGGCATCCCATATGGGCGCCGGTTCAAGTCCCAGCTGCTCCACTTCCGATCTAGCTTTCTGCTATGGCCTGGGAAAGCAGTAGAAGATGGCCCAAGTCCTTGGGCCCCTGCACCTGCGTGGGAGACCTGGAAGAAGCTCCTGGCTCCTGGCTTTGGATCAGTGCAGTTCCGGCCATTGCAGCCAACTGGGGAGTGAACCAGTGGATGGAAGACTCTGACTTTCAAATAAATAAGTAAATCTTTAAAAAAAATAAAGAGTGGAAAAGATGAAGGTTTTTAAAACTTTTGGTGAGGATATGGGAAACAAACCTGTCAGTGCAAACTGGTACAGCCTTTATGGAGAATAATCTGATATCTATCAAAATTAGAAAAGCCAAAGCTTTTGCCATTCCATCTCTAGGAACACTCGATAGTGACACGTGTGTGTGAAGGTTATGTTTAAAAGGAGATTCACTGCACTCAGCACCACTTACAATTTATACTTAAATGCTTAAACCAAACACAACACATGCATGCATTGAATACTATGCAGCTACAAAAAGAATGTGGAGGTGCTTATGTAAGACACAGTGTCAAACAGTCTGTATAATAGGAAATCATTTTTTAAAACTTTTATTACTCTAGGGGTTAGAGCATGTATTTTATATTGCATTATTATGTACACAGTGTATGAACACTAGTTAATCTTACTATTTTTAAAGATTTATTCATTTGAAAGGCACAGTTAGAGAGAGACAATGAGAGAGAGAGAGAGAGAGAGAGAGAGAGAGAGATGTCTTCATCTGCTGGTTCACTCCCCAAACAGCAGCAATGGCCAGGGCTGGGCCAGGCCAGAGCGAGGAATCAGGAGTTCCATCCGGGACTCCCATGTGGGTGCAGGGACCAAGCACTTGGGCCACCTTCCCAAGTGCATTGGCAGGGAGCTGGATCGGAAGTGAAGCAGCTGGGACTTGAACCAGTGTTCACATGGAATGCCAGCATTGCAGGCCACAGCTTAACCCACTACATAACACTGGCCCCCTAAAACAGTTTGAGAAAAACAAGTATGGATTTGTTCATGTATGTGCCTTCTATCCTTGGAAGTACAGAAAACCAAAGAGGAAAACAGCAGAGGGGCCAGGGTGGGAATAAGATTTTTTAATGTATATTCTTTCACATTTTTTGAATTTTGAATTACTACCAATTCAAAATCTTAAAAAAAAAAAAAAAAAAAAAAAAGAGGAGGGGCCGGCGTTAGCAGGTTAAAGCCCCAGCCTGCAGTGCCAGCATCCTATATGGGTGCCAGTTTGAGTCCTGGCTGCTCCTCTCCTGATCCAGCTCTCTGCTATGGCCTGGGAAAGCAGTAGAAGATGGCTCAAGTCCTTGGGCACCTGCACCCACGTAGGAGACCTGGAGGAAGTTCCTGGCTCCTGGCTTCAGATCAGCTCAGCTCTGGCCACTGTGGTCATTTGGGGAGTGAACCAGTGGAATGGAAGACCTCTCCCTCTCTGGCTCTAGCTCTCTCTGTAACTCTTTCAAATAAATAATCCTTTTAAAAGAAGAGGAGAGCAACATCCACATCTGATCTGCTGCCTCAGGGTGGAGTGAGAGGTTATTCCACTTCCCAGCATAACGGGGAGGCCGCACCGGGAGAGGCTTAGCCTGGCTGAGTGCGCTCGTCACCACTCAGCACTGATCTGCACGTGGGCGCTAGGACGGAGCTGCTGAGGGCATCTCCACCACGCACGGTTCTCCTACTTTGGGAATATTCTTCCCCCATGGGCGGGGGGTGGTCTTCGTCCCAGTCCACAGAGTCCTCGTCCGTCAGCACGACGATGTGGCACTCCCGCTCCCCTTTCTTGGCGCAGCCCACCATGATGGGCAGGATCAGTTCTTCGAGGTAGTGGTCAAACTGCTTGTGAGCACCGTCGTTAGACAGCTCGTGCAGCAAAGCACCTGGGGAGAGAAAACGCAGGTGAGCCTGCTTTCTGGTCAAGTGCGAGAGAGAGACAGGTGACAGCTGTTCGCAGAGTGAAAGGCAAGGAGACGCCTCCTGCTCCGAGGTGGAGGCTGACTGGGTCAGACGCGTTCAGATTCTACCAGGCTCCCTCTGCCTCCTCGAGCACGCGCATCAGCAGAGGCTGTGTCGGACAGACAGTGCTGGGCCACAGCTGAGTTCTGCCAGAGGTGGAGCCGTCAACTGGTCCTCTCCCGAAGATGCTCCGGGCCTGAGCCCACTGAGAGACAGGACCACAATGAAGGCCTCGCTGCAACTTGCAGCCAATGCATTATGGACGTCAAAGGACAATTCTTCCAAAATGTCAGGAAGCCTAGAAGTCTGTGGCCAGGCAATCTGAGTGCTAATCTTAGCTTTCCTAAAGCCTACAGCTTCAAACAAGCCAAGGTTTCAGGCTTCTCATTTGTCAAACGAAGTTACCACCCTTCCCTCATAGCTAGTGTGCCTAAGACATTAGTGATTCCACAGCTGTAAAGCACTTCGCAAACATTAAGTTAAAACAATGAAAAGGGGCAGGCTTTGAGGCCACTGTGGCAGGCAGTGGTGAAGCCACCACTTGGGATGCGCAGATCGCACATCAGAATGCCTGGTTCGAGTTCCAGTTCTCCGTGCTCTCAATCCGGCTTCATGCTAAAGCACTAGGGAGGCAGTGGATATGGGCCCATGAACTGGGTTCCTACCACAGACAGGGGAGACAAAGTTGGAGGGCGGGGTTCCTGGCTCCAGGCTTCAGCTTGGCCCGGCCCTGGCTGGAGGCATTTAGGGCGTAAACCAGCGGATGGAAGACCTCTATCTCTCTGTCTCTCCCTCTCTGTCACTCAACCTTTCAAATAGACAACAAATAAATAAGAGAACTAGCAAGGAAGCCCAATTTGTTGGGCATGTTAAAAAAAAAAAAGTGATAAAATTGTAACAAAAAGCCTGGCCAAACTGCTATGTAACAGCGAGCCTTTGCTCATGTTGGACAAGCAGTGTCCTTGTTTGTCAGAGTGGAGAAACCAGGGCCGCAGGAGGGAAGCAGGCAGCGTGGCGACCTGCCGGCTGGTCCGGCTACGCCGAGACTCACCGCCTGGTTCCCTGTGTCTACCCCGCTGCCCTGCAGTGCTTTGAAGCAGTAGAGGAAACAGGTTACTGATTATCACGCCTCTGCCTCAGCAGATCATGTGCAACCCACACGTGGAAGTCCTTCTGTTCAGTAATGCAGACGTCAGTCCGTTCCAGAGCACACTCAGGCGCAAGCGCTGCTGCCACGGCTCCCGCACTTACTCAGGTCTTGGCAGCGGATGGTGTTGAAGTCAAAGTTGATGCAGAGATAATCGCATGTGTCCCTAAGGTCTGGGATGGAGATGCCATCAGGACAGCTGATGATGCCAGTTTTGTAATAATCCTGTAAGCAGACGAGGAGGGAGAACTGTAGGCCGCATTAAGATGGGACACCATTTCTTCAACCCGTCTCCCTCCTGGCCCTGTGAAAGCAGGGGGCTACCGGGGCGATCACCAAGCTGGCCGAACTGGCAGATGGCAAAGCGGCCCCGGCCATCCTGACGCTTTCCATCAGAACCTGCTGACAACTGAGCTCACACCTGAAGTGCAGGAACAGAACACAGGCGGGAAAGGCAACGACTGGAAGCAGAGACCCTAAAGTCAGGGTCACGGCCGGCCGGGCACGCCTCTGGGGAAGACATGTAAAACAAGGGCAAAACCACACACCAGCACTGTGCGAAACACGGTCGCGCTGATTCCTTCGGCGATCTCATACTCTCCCTTCTCGTTGGGCCGCGTGAAGTTGTACTCTCTTCCGGGTCCAAACATCCTGAAAGACAGCCAGGCAACAGTGTGACCTCCTCCCGATCCCTCCCAGCACGGCCCCTTCTCTACCTCATCCCGCACTGTTCCACTCCGGCCTCTCACTGTGCAAGTCACAAACAGCACTGGGACCCGCCACCCACAAGCTGAGCGCACGTCTTAGGAAACACCCTTCAGAGAGCAGAAGGTAGCAGTTGCTTTAAGCATGTGTGTGCAAGGAGGAATGAGGACGCGAGTCCTCAAGGTTCATGTGCAGCGAGGGAGGGGCTTCTGCAGCAGATACAGAACAGCGCCAGCAGAGACGGCCCGGCCCGTGGGGAGTGCGTGGAGGGTGTGGTGACGGCCTCACCTGGCGCACCCTGCTGCCCAGGCCCCTGCTGATGAGCCACGAGGGCGCGCGCTGCCCCGCCTCGTCCCTGCCTTCCGTTCCCCACCTCCGGCACACCGTCCCCGGCACTCCCGAGTCTGCGTGGGCATCTAATCGCTGATGACTGCAGTAACCGGCGCAGCTAGCTCAGTGGTTTCCCGCCGGATCTCAACAGTGAACACGCCCTCCTTCAGGCAGAGGAGGAGAGGAGGGGGCGCTAGGCCTCATCAGCACTCCCACACGCTTCAGCGGGCTCAGGAACTCCCGAGCCATTGGGCGGGGACAGAGAGCTGCTTCCCTTACCCACCCCTTTGGCCCCTCTCTTAGCTCTCCTCCGTCCAACTGATCTGGTGACTTGTGCTCCTGCCACACACTCGTGTAGAGTTGTGGAACCGGAAGACAGCACCAAGGGCAGGGCAGGGCAGGCACCTGCTGTCTTCAGCCAGCCTGATTCGATTTCCCAATTTCCTTCCTTAACACGCAGGGCAGTGCTGCTGCCCCGGTTCACCAGGGCTGTCCACTCTGACGTGGCTGCTTTTCAAAGGTCTGAAAATGACTCCACGTCACATGCTTTCCAAGGCACTCTGCATCATGCACAAGTGCACCCGGGTAACAGCAGTCACCAACGAATGCTGATGTTTTTCTGGAATGCTCTGGTTAAAGCCTAGCTAGGAGAGCCATGGACGGGTACGCACACAGCGGCACACTGCCCGCCCCTCCGCCCTCCAGCAGCCCTCAGGCTCAGCGCTGTTTCTCTAGCAGCGGCAAGGCTCTGCGTTAATCCACCCTCGCCCCCACTCAGCCCCCTCGTGACCAGTGACCCCCACCCGTGTTCCCCCTGGTTAGGCTCACAAGTACCATAGGCAGCCAGAGGACAGAACAAACTTACGTAACTCAGAATTTGTGAGTCTACCCAGCTGAATGAGCCACCTGGACAAAGAACAAGGCTCTCTCGCGAGGGACAGCCCATCTCTTGATTCGAAGAGCCAAGAATCTGTGACTCAGAAAAGGCTTGCTGAGGCCAGTGCTGGTGTCGTGGGCTAAGCACCGCCTGCAGCGCCGGCGTCCCTTATGGGTGCGGGTTCCTATCCTGGCCGCTCCCCTTCCGATCCAGCTCTCTGCTGTGGCCTGGGACAGCAGTGGAAGATGGCCCAAATCCCTGGGCCCCTGCACCCGCGTGGGAGACCCAGAAGAAGCTCCTGGCTGTTGCGGCCATTTAGGGGAGTAAACCAGTGGATGGGAGACCTTTCTCTCTCTATAACTCTCTCTCAAATAAATAATGATAATAATAATAATAAATCTTTTTTTAAATGCTTGCCTCTCTCTCTTATTTGAAAGGAAGAATTTCAGGAAAGGGTGGGGGTGAGGAGGGAGAGATCTTCCATCTGCTGGTTCACTCCCCAAATGGCTGCAAATGGCCAGACCAAAGCCAGGAGCCAGGGGCTTCATCCAGGTCTTCCATGTAGGTGCAGAGGCCCAAGCACTTGGGCCATCCTCTGCTGCTTTCCAAGGGATATTAGCAGGGAGCTGGATTGGAAGTGGGGCATCCAGGACTCAAATGTGCCCAGGTGGGATGCCAGCTCCATCTTTCTCTCTTTTTAAGATTTACTTGAAAGAGACAGAGAGCAAGTTCTCATCCACTGGTTCATTCCCCAAATGTCCACAATGGCTGGGGCTGGAACAGCAACTCAGTCCAGATCTCTCCTTTGTAGGTGGCTGGAACCCAATTACTTGAGCCATCACTGCTGCCTCCAAGGTTTACAATGGTCAGGAGCTGCAGCCAGGAGTCAAGTCCAGATACTCTGACGTGAGACCCAGGCATCTTAAGTGCTAGCATAAATGGCTGCTCACTGCCTTTCTTCTGTTGATCACTACTTTTAGAGGTGACATTCCTCAAACAGCCAACGTGCACTGAGGAATTTTTTTTTTTTTTTTTTTGGGTGAAGTGGGCAGGAGTATACAATGGTGACACTAAATCTGAGACCAAGAAGTTAAGCCTGATAAAATACAGGGCTAAGTAGGGGGCTGGCGCTGTTGCACAGCAGGTTAAAGCCTTGGCCTACAGCACTGGCATCCCATATGGGTGCCAGTTTGAGTCCAGGCTGCTCCACTTCTGATCCAGCTCCCTGCTAATGCAGCTGGGAAAGCAGTGGAGGATGGTGCAAGTCCTTGGGCCCCTGCAGCCATGTGGGAAACCTGGAAGAAAACTCCTGGCTCCTGGCTGTGCATTGGCTCATCTCTGGCCATTGTAGCCATTTGGGGAGTGAACCAACAGATGGAAGACATGTCTCTCCCCTTTTCTGTAACTCTTTCAAATAAATAAATCTTTTTAAAAAAAATAGAGCTAATTAGAAAAATGTTTTAATATTTTGCTTTCATCTTGATTCAGATGTTTAAGAAATATGAGGATATTTGGTTCTATGTAAAATTGTTCACTATGAATTTGTATGTTCAAATATACACATGTTTGGATAGCTGGATCTCATTTAGCCTAGAATTCAGCAATTCAGTGTGATCCGTTCTGATTTCTAATTCAGTTCAAGTTAGCTTCAGGTCCTGAGTGAGGTTAGATCTTTAAACAAAACAAAATCTACTTCCTTTTTCATTGTCTTCATTTTTATTGGGGGGGTGGGGAGGATTCTCCCATCCACTGATTGACTTCCCAAATGCCTGCAATATCAGGAGCTAGAAACTCATTCTAGGTCTCGTCTGTGGGTAGCAGGAAACCAAGCACTTTGCTCCATCACCTGCTGCCTCCTAGAGTGTGCGTCTGCAGGAAGCCAGAGGCAGGAGCAGAGCGGGCACAGCCCCAGGCACTCTGCCACAGGATGCCGTCCTAACTGCTGCCCCGCACGCCTGCGCCAAGTCTACTTCTAAGTAGATGAAGACCCCAACAGCAAAGCCTCCACGCACACTGTCGTCAGCACGCTTGTTCTTAAACTCTCAGCCTCATCTGTTCTTCCTCCTGGGAAGGCCTGGGCTGTCCAGGAGGGGCTCTGCCAGCACCCTCCTGAGCAGTCTGTTTCCTTCCCTGACCTCTGACCCTGACAGGCGGGGTCGGAGAGGGGGAGAGCAAAGCAATAAACAAGCTAGGCATAAAGAGTGCGTTCCAAAGTTCTGGGCCATCAGACAATGACAGCAGAGCTTCTGTGGCCAAGCCTAGAGCTGGCAGCAGATGGCAGATCAAAGGCATTTGTAAAACGACTTTGTTCTTGTGTCCCGCGGAACGCTGGCCCAATTCTCTTTTTTATTAAAAGCGAAAGAGAGCATGACTTAGGTCTCACCTTGTCCCAGGGTCTTAGCCTGTGAACTGGGAAATGGGACTGCAGCGTGGATGCAGGGGAACAGGGGCTGGCCTCGGCAGGGCACTTCCCAGAGTCCTTGCCCAGAGGCTCATTGGCTACACTGGCTCTGGACGTGGACACACCCCCTCGTCCCCAAGTCACCCACACACGGAAGGCTTTTCCCAGCTTGTCCTCCCTCTCTCCTGGAAGGAGGAAGGTAGAAAAACAGCAATGCAATGCTTTTCACTTTCATAGCCAATGCGAGATAAACAGCAGGTATTTCTATTTAGAGAGAGCACAGTGAATCTGGACGGAATTTATCATCAGTTACCTTCCCAGCATGGTGTCCGGATGAGCAGTGAAAATTTGTGGATTCACAACAAAGCGAGTGCCATCTACAAGAAGCGTCACTTTCTCTGGCGCTTGGGAATGGGAGTTACTGCCAAAGCCCACACTACTGTTTCCAAATCTCTCTGGAGCAATAAAGGGTTCATGGTTCCGCTTACTCCCACCTTGGCAGCAGGAGCCTTTGGTGTCTTCGGGAAGTGGCATTATGTGAGAGAGCTGCACATTTGCTGGCTGAGAGGCGTGGTCAAGTGAAAGCTCTAAAAGATCACACAAACAAACCAAAGTAACTCAAGAGCCAAAGCCCTGCCTGCTTTAACACAAACAACTAAGCAAACAAAAAACCAAACTTTCAGGTGTCGCCTGGAGCAAATGACAAACACATTGGAAGCACTCTGGGTCTCCCTGAGGTCTGTCTCCGTGCGCAGCCACGCACAGCTGTGGGCCGGGGGGATGGAGGCAGGGATGCCCACATTTAAAATGACTGGAACACTTGCAAGTAAACGATGTCCATGTTTCACCAACGGGAGAACACTGTGCAGAAGACGCAGCAGTGCCTGGCCCTGCTCCTGACTCCCGCAGCGCCGGTGCGCCCGGACCAGCCCTCACATCCACTGCACGCACTACTCGTGTTTGCTGAAGGAACCTGCTTCTGCTGGGTGCCCCAACTCTGCATTTTCACAGCCTTCCAGACTGCTTTAAATGTTGTTTTCCAGACCAGATCATGAGAATCACTCTCCCTAGAAATCCACAGAAAGTGCCTTGTCATGATGACCAGGCAGGTCTTATTCTGGGCAGAGAAGTGCCAGCGCACTGGGACTTAGGCATGGGAGGGACTTCAATTCGTGTCCGAGTTGTCACCAAAAGGTTGTTTTCTTTACGCAACTGATTTAGCTTTCCTAACCCCGGTCTAACACCTACAAAACGAGGGTTCGCTCCACGTCCCTCCCAGAGTTCTTCTCATTATTGTCTGAAATACAGTGTGCATGAGCACTTACAAATGTACAACGCTGCATGCCACACTTGGGCTTCCAGCTCAGTGTCTCAAATCTGGGTGTGCACAGAGGACAGCCAGGAGCGTTCACAGGAGGACGGCCAGCGGCCAGAGGATGCTTTTAGGGAGGCAGGCTCCTAAGGCATCTTATTATAACATAAAAAAAACTTTAATGAAAATTTCATACAGAAGCACAGAGTATAAGACATCTCACCTAGATTTACACCTTAGTTAACATTTTCCTGGATTTGGGGCAAACTTTTTTTTTTTTTTTTTGACAGGCAGAGTTAGAGAGAGAGAGAGAGAGACAGAGAGAAAGGTCTTCCTTCCGCTGGTTCACCCTCCAAATGGCCACCACGGCCGGCGCGCTGCGCTGATCCAAGCCAGGAGCCAGGTGCTTCCTCCTGGTCTCCCATGGGGTGCAGGGCCCAAGTACTTGGGCCATCCTCCACTGCACTCCCAGGCCACAGCAGAGAGCTGGCCTGGAAGAGGGGCAACCGGGACAGAATCCGGCGCCCCAACCAGGACTAGAACCCGGTGTGCCGGCACTGCAGGTGGAGGATTAGCCTAGTGAGCCGCGGCGCCGGCTCTTTTTTAAAAAGAAATAAAATGTTAGATACACCTGCACGGCTCGCCGCCCCTCAGCGTTTTAAATCTGCGCGCAGTCACTCATGAACCTGATTACTGTCCATGGCACCTTCTGGCAGTTACTCTGATGTCCTGAAATAAACTGTCAGCTGGAGGACACTCATTTTTTCCTATTTGTTTGTAGATAAAAGCAAACCAAAATCGAGACTGAAAGCCTCCAGCGTTCATTCTTCAGCTTCTGACAAGTTTTCCGCAAGGCCCTGTGTTCGCACAGCAGGAGCAGGAGCCGAGCTTCCACACTATCCACAGGCAGCATCTGCTCACCCTTCACGGGTCCGCACGCCTTCCATGCTGAGACACCACACAGGGGCCTGCATTACTCAGCCAGTTCCTCGGAACGCCTGCTCTCCCCCCAGCAAAAAAGCGATTGTGCTCGCGGGTTCCTGACCCCTGCCTCAGTGGGCGAGCAGGAAAACAGACTCACTGCTCTGTGTCAGTTATGCAGCACAGCCTGCCAGTCTTGCCTACTTGCAGCGTGGACGCAAGCCAGTTACCTAAGCTTTCTAAGGCTTGGTTTCCTCACCTGTGAAATGAGGATCCCAGTCGTGAGGACTATCTAGAACAGGGATCAGCACACTCTGTAAAGGCCAGAAAGAAAACCCTGCAGGTCCTGCAGGTCAGTCTTTGCCATGGTAGCCGGAGAGCAATGTGTAAGCAGATGTACATGACAGTGGTGTTTCAATAAAGCTTAATTATCTTATTAAAAGTGAAAAAGGACTCAGAAATCAGGAGTTTTCACATCAAGCCACCAGCCTTGCGAGATAGGAAATATATTAACGTCCTTATTTTCTAGAGTTAAGATCTTTAAGTGTCTCGTCCATGGTTATAGCTGATGCGTAGCAAAGCTGGAATCTAGATCTGTCAGAATTCTGGCTCCAAATGTGGGGCTGTTTGTCTTACGCCGTTAGCACTAAGTTAGACGTGCTACACTGATTAAAAAAGCAGAGATTTTCTGTGATGGACAGCTTTTGTGACATATAAACTAAACCAATTCATGGGTTACTAGACCAAGATGAACGTTCTATTCTTGCCTTCTGGGTAGAGGACATGCTCACCTATCAGAAAACCCGCAGATGAAGGCAACAGCTAAACACCGTACCTTCATTTCTGGGACCCAAGGGATAAGGAAGACTGTGAAGACCAGGGGAAGCCAGGCTACTTGTTTCTTTTTCTTGGGCAGCAGCTGAGGTGTCATCCGCTAGGCAGCTAGCCTCTTGCCGCAATGACCTGTCGCTGTCACCGCTGCGCTGAACGTTCATCCTTGGACTCGGTATCCGGAACTGTGTGCTCGGCCAGACAGAAATCCTGGAAGACAGGAGATGCATGATTTCCAGCTCGCCAAACAGGTGTCCAAGGACTTCTCTGGACGAAGGCAGCTGGAGAGCGGACAGCTCTCACTGCTGTTCTCAGGAGCAATGGGCTATCTGCACATTTCTGTGTTGTTCTATTGAGAGGAACCTGGCTGATCTAAATAGTCTTTGTCAAATCACTAAGAATGTTAACAGACTGGGTACCAGGGAATAATTTTAATAATTTTAAGTTTTGTACAAAATAAATGTAGAATCCACCACTTTTGGCCACATACACAATCAACTCTACTATTTTATTTTACTTATATGAAAGTCAAGAGTTACACAGAGAAGGAGAGGCAGAGAGAGAGAGAGATCTTCCATCCACTGGTTCACTCCCCAGTTGGCCTCAATGGCTGGAGACATGCTGATCTGAAGGCAGCAGCTAGGAGCTTCTTCCAGGTCTCCCACATGGGTGCAGCCATCTTCTGCTGCTTTCCCAGGCCATAGCAGAGAGCTGGATCAGAAGTGGGGTAGCGGGACTTGAACAGGTGCCCATATGGGATGCTGACACTGCAGGTAGTCGCCTTACCCATTATGCCACAGCACAGGCCCCAACTCTACATTTTAAATGGCAGTGTGATCATTTGGTTTTGTTTATACCACAGAGACACACACGGGTAGGGAGAGTCCAATTGTTCAAGTAAACAAAACTGAATGTGGCCAGTGCTGTGGCGTAGTAGCTTAAGCCTGGGCTGGCATCCCATACAGGCTCCGGTTTGACCCTGCCACTCCACTTGGATCCAGCTCTCTGCTATGGCCTGGGAAAGCAGTGGAAGTGGGAGACCCGGAGGAAGCTCCTGGCTCCTGGCTCTGGATCGGCACAGCTCCAGCCATTGCGGCCATCTGGGGAGTAAACCAGCGGATGGAAGACCTCTCTCTCTCTCTCTGCCTCTCCTCTCTCTGTGTAACTCTTTCACATAAATAAATAAATCTTTAAAAAAAAAAAAAAAACAGTAACGCCAACCTGAGCTAAACAAAACACAACCTAGTGCTTGCAGTGTTCAAGTTCTTTAAGAAAGTCAGGCTGACTGCTTGATTTGAAAGCAGAGAGAGGGAGAGATCTTCCATCGAACCACCGTGCCACGTCTGCCCCCGAGGTTCTCCTTTTTAACTTCCCTTTTCTCTCTCTCATTTTCCATACCCTGTGCTCAACCCCAAACCTTACTTACTTCACAATCACACTGGTTGGAAGGCCATGACACCCCTTCCCAAGCAGCGCACAGTTCCCATGAACAACAGTCACTGAGTCACTGCCACACACAGCTTCCTGCTGGTTATCACATCCTGCAACCCTTGCAACTATTCAAAACATGCCCGCGCTCACCCCTGCACTACTTTCCACCTGGCATTCTGGTGGAAGACTATTTTAAATCACCAGTGATTTGTATGCGCATGGCCTGCACACTTCACAATACTGTGTAGGAGGGAAGAAGCTCCCAGGACAGGAACAGGTTTTCCTGCTCTCAATGTTCTGACCTATCAAGCATGTGGCAGGTGTCAATAAACATCTGTAATATGAACCAAAGTCTGAGCCCCTTCATAACCCAGAGGAAAATATTCTGAGCACAGGGCTGGGCATGGCAGCACAACAGGGTAAGCCACCACTTGGGACATCCACGTTCCTTATCAGAGTGCTGGTCCGAGTCCCAGCTCCTCCGCTCACGTGTACCTTGGCAGAGGGCAGATGATGGCTCAACTACTTGTGTCCCCTACCCACGTGAGAGACCCAGATGGCGTTCTGGTCTCCTGGCCTAATTGCGGGTGTTAGGGGACAGGATGGAAGCTCGTGCTCTTGCTCTCCCCACCCCCGCTCTGTCAATATGCCTTTCAAATAAATAAGCCCTTAAAAAAAAAGTTTTGAACATAAAGTTGATTGCTCAGTTTCACCCATGTTTTAACTTGGATGAAATATAAAAATGACTACTTTGAACAGATGGATCAGTGCATGTACCTAAAAATAAATCATTTTAAAGAGACGTTTACAGTTTGATAGAGTATTTTCCGACAATGGCTCTTACAGCATAAAGCAAACTGAAGAAATAAAGTGAATGTATGGATAGAAAACCCAACATGTGGCTATAGCTTCTTCAGGATCACCCTTCTTCAAGGGAACACATTTATATTACAAAAAATGCAGCCGCTTCCTTAGCACTTGGTAAAGTGAAACAGAACCACCAGTCCCCTCAAGTGAGACTCAGAGTGTGGAAATCCAGACAGGGGCCAGTGCCGCGGCTCACTAGGCTAATCCTCTGCCTGCGGCGCCGGCACACCAGGTTCTAGTCCCTGTTGCTCCTCTTCCAGGCCAGCTCTCTGCTGTGGCCCGGGAGTGCAGTAGAGGGTGGCCCAAGTCCTTGGGCCCTGCACCCGCACAGGAGACCAGGAGAAGCACCAGGAGAAGCACCTGGCTCCTGGCTTTGGATCAGCACGGTGCGCCAGCTGCAGTGGCCATTGAGGGGTGAACCAACAGAAAAAAGGAAGACCTTTCTCTCTCTCTCTGTCTACTCTGCCTGGAAAGAAAGAAAGACAGAAAGACAGACAGAAAGACAGACAGAAAGAAAGACAGAAAGACAGAAAGAAAGACAGAAAGACAGAAAGACAGGAAGACAGGAAGACAGAAAGAAAGACAGAAAGACAGAAAGACAGGAAGACAGAAAGAAATCCAGACAGGATAAAGATGGCCATGGAACTGGAAAGAACTCCATCAAGATGAAAGGGGTCTGCTGCTTTCCAGTTGGTTCCGCCCTGCCTCTGCTGCTGCTGCCCACAGCTGCTCAGGAAGGAAGTCACACTGCTCTCCGCTGTTCTCCCAGATGGCCAGGGCCAACCCAGGGAGCTTGAACAGGCCTCTCTCTCGCGAACTTGCACAGAGGAGACTGTAAATTATTTACTCAACCCTTCCAATGCAGGAAAACCAGTTTTGCTACAGTGGAGTACAGTGAAAACATTTCCTTCCTTGTGTGCAGTACCAGGGCTCAAAGCTGTGTTTAATTTGTATACAGTGGATCGATAAAAAGATGCACTTGGAACTTAGCAGGGGAGAGATCTCTGAGAAGTGAAAAGGTGACTTTCTGAGCACTTAACAGGCATCTGCATTTGATTAATTTTTATTAGAGGAATATATGCTCTTCTAAGAAAATGCAAACCTTACAGGTAGGGCAAAAAAGGGTGCTTTGATTATGGTCTCCAATCCTAGCCACTCTTCCAACTGTACTGTCAAACTCTTAGAGACGATCTAGTTCGCCAGGTGTTTCCTCGTTTTAAGAAACTCTCTCAGGATTAATGTTTAATGACACAGACTAGCATTCTGCCTAATCTCTGCTCAACTGTAATTCCTCTACAACCCCCGACAGAATAAAGATCTCCTGACCTATGAAGCCTAAGAAGTAAACCAACTGACACCAAATTCTTCAACCTACACCGAGCAGCCAGTTTCAACAAGACACAAGGGCTACTCCTCTTCCAGGATGGATGTTTCATTCAACTCTAATATTTTCCTGGCCCACTAGGTCTGTAACCACCTCTAAATGAATCTTGGTCCTCAGAGCAGATCCGATGGGAGAAAAGCAGCAGCAAAGCACTATTTTAATACGGTATTGCCACAATTTGGGTCACCATCACTCTGAGAGTCACAGCAACACATAATTACAAGAACCAAAGATCCACCACATCCTTGCACACCTCAACAATAACTTAAGAGGCTGCTTCAGGAAACACCAGAAATTTTAAAATATAGTCATAGGGTCAGGCGTCGTGTGCAACGGGTTAAGCCGCTGTCTGGGATGCCCGCACCCACTATCAGAGCCTGATTCAAGTCCCAGCTACTCCATGCTTTTGATCAAGCTTCCTGCTAACATGCCTGGGAGGCAGTGGATTATGGTCCAAGTGCTTGGGGTTCCTGCTGCCCATGTGGGAGCCCTGGGTGGGATTCCTGGCTCCTGGTTTCAGGCTGGCCCAGCCCCAGCTGCCGTGAGCTTTTAGGGAGTCAACCAGCAGATGGATGATGTGTCATTCTGCCTTTCAAATAATTACAGATAAATAGGAGGCCGGCGTTGTGGCACAGAAGGGCAAGCAGCAGCCTGTGATGCGCATATGGGCGCCAGTTCAAGTCCCAGCTGCTCCACTTCTGATCCAGCTCCCTGTTAATGGTCTGGGAAAGCAGCAGAAGATGGCCCAAGTGTTTGGGCCCACGCACCCACGTGGGAGACCCAGAGGAAACTCCTGGCTCCTGGCTTTGGTCTGGCCCTGCCCTGGCCAAACTGGCGGATGAAAAACCTCTATGTCTCTCCCTTTCTCTCTCTGTAACTCTTTCAAATAAGTAAAAATAAATCTAAGAAAAAAATTACAAATGAATCTTTATATATAAAATAGAACTTAGATAGTATAGCTGTAGAGCAAAGAATACCTATAAGCCAGTTAAACTTCTTCCGTACATTATGTAAAAGCACTGTGTATACTCTAAAGAGCTGCACAAGTATGTATGTATGTTTTCTTTTTAAAGATTTATTTATTTATTTGAAAGGCAGAATTACAGAGAGAGAGAGGTATTTTCCATCTGCTAGTTCACTCTCCAAATGACAACAGCCAGGGCTGGCCCAGGCTGACACTAGGGGCTTCTGGGTCTCCCACGTGGGTAGCAGGGGCCCAAGCATTTGGGTCATCTTCACTGCTTTTCCAGGTGCATAAGCAGGGAGCCTTATCAGAAGTGGAGCAGCTGGGACTTGAACTGGTATCCATATGGGATGCCAGCACTGCAGCCAGCAGCTTAACCTGTTGTGCCCCAAAATTGGTCCCTAAATCTTGATTTTTCTAATCTGGAACAGTCAGCTATTTGGTGTCATAATCTCTCCATCTTGTAAAATCTACATAAAATATTTGATAGAATTATCTCAACACATTCCCTGCACTAAAGTCACACTGGTTTCTTGCAGGGGCACAAACACCTTGAATATGAATCCAAAACAAGCTCTAAATGATTTTCTTATTTGTAATTTCCCTCAATTATTTCTGAAGAAAACAAGATACTTATAGGATCACATTCTACTAAGTTCAATATCCTGCCATTTTACTCAGATTTCTAAAAACTAGTTGGAATGAGGGTGGAAGCAATCAAACTTAACAAGGTGCTACTCAAAGGCACAATGCAGTCAGACTGATAGGATGAGGGCATGATCTTCTGAAAAGGCAGTATTCTTTTTTATACTTAGGACCATGTCTATGTAAGAGCTGGATTCCGGGGGGAGGGCTGGCACTGTGGCGTGGCAGATAAAGCTGCCACCTGCAATGCCTATATGGGCACTGGTTTAAGTTCCAGCTGCTTTTTTTTTAATTTTTATTTTTATTTATTTGAAAGACAGAGTTACAGAGAGAGAAATCTTCCATCTTCTGGTTCACTACCCCAATAGCCAAAACAGCTGGAGCTGAGCCAATCCGAAATCAGGAGCTTCTTCCTGGTCTCTCACACAGGTGCAGGGACCCAAGGACTTGAGCCATACTTCTACTGCTTTCCCAGGCCATCAGTAGGCAGCTGGATTAGAAGAACAGCCAGGACTCGAACCAGTGCCCATATGGGATGCCAGCGCTGCAGGCTGGGGCTTTAACCCATTGTGCCACAGCACCGGCCCCCTACTCCACTTCTGATCCAGCTCCCCACTAATGCGCCTGGGAAATCGGCGGAAGATGGCCCAACTACTTGAGCCCCTGCACCCATGTAGGAGACCCAGAAAAAGTTCCTAGCTTCCACCTGGTCTAGCCCTGGCCACTGCAGCCATTTTGGGAGTGAACCAGTGGATGGAAGATCTCTCTTTCTCTGTAACTCTTTCAAATAAATAAATAAATCTTTAAAAAAAAAAAAAAAAAGGGAGCTGGATTTGGGATGCAAGTGTCCCAAATGACAGCTTAACCTGCAGTACCTAACACCGACCCCAAATGACTTCTAAAAATGTTAAGAGCACTCCAGTATCAAGCCTTTAGAAAGCTCTATCCTTAACATTTCTAAATACTTTCCTACAATATGGTCCCAAGCCCAAAATAACTTAGTTGTTTAAATCAGTGAAGAAACTGAGTCTTGTTAAGAAATTATTTCCACTGAGAGTCCCCTCCCACCTCCTTGCTGTTCCCCTCAAAGAATCTGGCAGACTGGTGCAATGGGGATACTTCTTAAAAGCTTTCTGGCTGCTTTGCTCCAAAGCTATACTTTCATGATGGCTCCACCCTTCATCCTGTATGTCTCTGTCTCCACCGCCTCTTTTTTTTTTTAAGATTTATTTGAAAGGCAAAGTTACAGAAGTAGAGAGTGAGAGTGACAGAGAATCTTCCATCTGCTGGTTCAGCTCTCCAGATGGCTGCAATGGCCAGAGCTGTGCTGTTCTGGACTCAAACTGGTGCCCATTTGGGATGCTGGCCCGGCAGGCGGCAACTTTACCAGCTAAGCCACAGCACTGGCCCCTCCACCGCCTCACTTCTGAGGGGCTGACCAACCATTAACCACTCCAGATTCACAGAAGGATTAAGCAAGGTAATTCACTTCCAGTGCTTAGAACAATGCCTGGCACACAGAAGACACTCAGTATCTGTTGATTCCCATTATTCCTACCCCACAGACAGCCACCTGAATCTGCAGAGAGCTGTTACAAGCCTAGCCTATTCTATCCTGAAACCAGCTCAGGAGAGATACTTTAATTATTCTCAATTTACTGGGGCAGGGAGAGGCGAGCAAAGCCTCAGAAAAGTTAGCCCCTTGCCCCAATCACCACTCTAGCCAACAGGCAGAGGCGCATTCCAAGTTAGGTCCTTGGATTCCCACCTTCCTCCCACCCCAGCATACTGCTTCCCCAAATCACCTCACATTCACTACTGATTCTAGGAGTTATTATTCTTCCATTGTTAGTCAGAAGTGGAAGAGAAAACCAGTACTTTCTGCTGTAGTTTCACCAAGCAGAAGTTGTAGCAGTAATACAGAAACCCTGTGACTGAATGGCTATTTTCCCCCCATTCAAAAAATTAGCATTATTAGTCTTGCTGCTCATAAATCACTATGTGCTCATTGAAAAAAAAAATCTGTCAACATAAAAAGATACAAGTATCATAAAAATCAACAAAACTGTACTGAAATCTTGTACACACCCTTTGGCATCTACACAATGATTTCCTTGGAATAAGCTCCTGGGAGTAAAGTTGCTATGGAAAAGGGTAACCACGTTTTCAGTTTTCATATGCGCTGCCAGACTGTGCTCTATAACCCATCAGTTTACACTCCTTCCAGGAGCACGGAGCAGCCATTCTCCAGAACTGTAAACACTCAGGGTTTCAGTCTTCCTCATCTTTGCTCATCTGAGGAGTAATGTATGAGAGCTCATTTTATTTGCAAGGCAGGAGAGAGAGACAGAGACATCTTCTATCTGCTGGTTTACTCCCCACACAGCTACAAAAGCCAGGGCTGGGCCGGCTGGAGCCAGGGGCCAGGAACTGTGTCTGGTCTCCCACTTGGGTGGCAGGGACCCAAGTAGTTGAGCTGCTGTCTCCCAGGGTGCACATTAGCAGGAAGCTGGAAGGGAAGCAGAGAAGAGACTCAAACCAGACTCCAACATGGATGCGGGTATCTGAAGCAACGGCTTAACCTGCACCACAATGTGTAACCTCAAGAGCTCATTTTAATGTGGTTTTTCATCAATATTTCTAAAACTTTTCCTTTATGAATCTTACGGGCTGGCACTGCGGCAGTGTGCTAAGCCTCTGCTTGGGGCATTTACGTCCCATAAGGAGTGCCAGTTCGAGTCCTGGCTCAGCTTCTGATTCAGCTCTTGGGAAGGCAATGGACAATGGCCAAAGTGCTAGAGTTCCCACCACCCACGTGGGGACCTGGGTGGAGTTTCTGGCCCCAGCCTCAACGTGGCAGAAGTGCTGAGGGGAAGACGCTAGGCAGTAGCAGTGATTTATCCACATCAAGTGTGCCAGGCTTGACTACAGTCACCATTTCCCATGAGTAGCTCTCATGTCCCTGGAGGTCTACAAAACGAAAGCCCACCCACGCCACTGCAGCTACACAGGTGCTGGCAGCATCAATGAGCCTCAACTGTGACACCACCGTTAACATTTAATCCTAACATCTGTTGATAACAAACATGGTGTTTCTGTAAACCAAACCTGTCGGCTTAGAGCTACTAAATGCTATACAGCTTTCCAACCATGTATCCGGATGCTCTGTACTAAGCACTTTCATCAGCTTCTCCTCTCTCAAAACTGGACAGAAGTTTCTGGAGGGGTCCCCACAACTCATGGAAAATGTCTATCACTAAAAGATTACACATCAATTTCAGAAATTCTCTGCACCAATATAAACTTGTCTTTTAATTCCACTTTCCATGAGCTTTTTGAAGCACCCCCTGTGTGGTCAACACTGGGTTTACTGAATGTCTGCTGTGTGGATGGCAGGTGCCAGCGGCGAAAGACAGAGAGGACTGAGCAACACTTTCAAGTGCTGGTGCTCAGTTCCCAAGCTGGTTAGCTGGGGGTATGTAAAAATGATGAGTAACCCTCGGGGATGAGACCAGAGTCAGTGGTACGGACCAGTGGTTCCAGATTCTGATGCCATCCCTTGCAAGTCCGACTCTGTAGGCTTACTGTGAGGACTGGACATTTGTCATCACACACACAGAACGACGGCAAAGGCTATTCTCACATGCACTCAGGTTTGGAAGCCTTTAATATAAATATAAACTTTCTTAAAATTCGTATTAGAAAACCACCTCTAGCTAGTGTTGTTGGAGAAAGAAATCTTCATAAAAGAGACAAAATCTGGGTTGGGTTCGTAAAGTACAGGTAAGATGTTCTCCCCAAGTTTTTATTTTGGAACTTTTCAAATCCCTGAGGAAACCACACCCTCCCCTCAGATTCACCAGCGCTCAGTCCGACACTCGTGCCCTCATTGCTGCTCTCTGTATAAACGTGAACATGTATGTACACACGCGGCTCCACATTGCATGTATGTACACATGTGGCTCCACACTGCATGTATGTACACGCGTGGCTCCACATCACTTGAAAATCAGACATCACAACACACCTCCTTCAAAATTCAGCATGCACAGCCTAAGAATTTAAAAAAAACTCTATGGGGGGGGAAGTCATTGTAACCCATGAGTCGTACTTTGGAAATTTATATTCAATAAATAAAAGATAAAAAAAAAAAACTCTTGTACAAAACACCACTATTTTCATACCTAAGAAAATTCACATTTCATAATACCATTAATATATAATCCATAATTCTATCCAAATATTCTCATATTTTCTCTTAGAGTCTCTTTTGGACCATCTGACCACTAAATGCCCTCGCTGCTGTGTAGGTGCCATTGTGTCTGGGCCACACCAGGTGACAAAGGTTGAAGATTTCTTTTTCAAACAATCCTCAGTTCACACTGATATTTTTCAATTCAAATTGAACACAGCAGTTTTTTCTAACTGTATATTATTACATCTTTTCTCTGAGATTGAAAATCTTGCTTCATAGACTAGTTTCAGTTATAATGCCAATATTAACAATAAACCTACTGAGTTTCAGTGTTTTGGGGGATGTAGCTCTTTTTACCCTTATGAAGTACTTCTCACTAAGGATGTACAGTCCTTGTGCTATGTTCAAAAGTTGTTTTCTCTCTGTATTTAATCACAGCATTTTTTAAATTACTTTTTGAATATGTAAACATCTACGTGGTTCAGAAGTTAAAGTCCCATAAAAAGGAAAGGCCAGAAGGCTCCCTCCCCTTTTCCCTCCAGTCTCCCACTTATTCCCCACAGATACCCAGTTGTCAGTCCATTTGTGCTGCTGTAACAAAACACCGGAGATGGGAGATCGGGAAGTTTATACAGAATAGAAAATTTATCTTTTCACGCCCTAGAGGCTGAGAAGCCCAGGATGAAAGCAGGAGCAGACAGGAGTCTGGTGAGGGCCTGTTCTTCACAGGTGGCGCTGTCCTAATGTACAAAACGCAGGGGGAGCAGCAGAGGACTGGTTGGCTCCTTCAGTCTCCTTTAATGAGGCACTAATCCCACCCACAAGGGCAGAGCTTCACCCCAGGCCCCCACCTCTTAATATCATCACTGAGCTGTAGTTCCAGCACAGCACTGGCTTTGTTAGTTTTCAATTATCCTTCATGTTTCTCTTTGCAGAAATAAGTAAATACGTATACAAGTGCATCCTTTATTCCTTTTTACACAAAATATAGAATACTATATCGAGTCTTTTGCACCATGGTATTTTTATTGAACAATATATCCTGGAAATCCCATCAGGAGCTCACAGACATTACTCATCCTTCTTATGGTTATATAATGCCCCAGTGCTATTAGGCAGAACTCTGGTAGAGAAAGGGGGAAAGAACATTCCAGAGAAGGTGACAGCCTGTAACAGCAGGAAAGTAAAATACAGCTTTATTACTATATGAAGGAGCAGGAGAGTAGAGTGAAGGATTAATGAACAGAGGAGGGAAATCAGGGTCCCCATCATAGCACGCAACTCCGGGGAACGCAGTGCACGTCACTGTCTAAGGAGCTGGACAACACATAAGTTAGAGAGCTGTACATGACTGCCCTGCGGAAGCCAAAGTTGCAGAACAGATTTGGGCCAGCCTGGAAAGGCCCTTGAATTACACAGTAAACTAAGGGGACCCTGTCCTGTAGCCGGCGTTTTCTGCGTTGAGAAGTGTCATGTTCAAAACATTGCATTAAAAAAGGGCTCACATGCTAGAAGCTTGGTGCTCAGAATGGTGATGTTGACAGTGGTGGAATCCTTAAAATGTAGGACCCAAGTGGCCTTGTCCTCCACCCCTCTTGTCAGCCTCAGTGCGGTCTCCACAAACTCGAATACCATGCCTTCAATTAAGCTGCAGAGTTCTGACGGAGAGATTTTTGAGGTTGATGTGGAAATGCCAAACCCTCTGTGACCATCAGGATCATGCTGGATGGTTTGGGAACGGATGATGAAGAAGGTGACCACCAGTGCCTCCACCAGCGTTCGTGCGGCAATAGTAAAACAGGTCGTCAGGAGTGCCCACCCCAGGGATGGCCCTCCTCCTGAAGACCATGAGAACAAAGAAAACCGAGCAGATGCCGTCCCTGGCTGGAACCGAGAATTCCTGGAAACTGACCAAGGAAAACTTTGTGAACTCATGCTGGCTGCAAACAACTTAGACAGCCAAGGCTTGCTTGATGTTAGACGCAAAATCGGGGCTAATATGTGCAAGGGAGTTTCCTGAGGGGACTCGCAAGACCTACAAACAGCGAGTACACTGAAGTGGAGGAAGCCCAGGTGCGCAGAGAGCCAGTAGTGTGAAGAGAAGTGCGACGTTGTGCCTGACCCTATAACCCTGTAAGGAATGTCCATAACGCTAGTCCCACGGCTCTGTGTATACACTGTTAGTATCAGGCAAACAGTGGACAAACGCGACAGCAAACCATTTGTTTTAGCAGAATATTGTCCTCACTGCATGTGTAGTTTGCGTACAGACTCCAAACTGGAGTTTCTTCCAGTATGATGTAAAGTTCCTGTTTTCTTTGTTCTGAATAAAACTGAACTGTGGGTTCTCGATAGAAATTGGCATTCGGGGAGTTCCCTCTTCTTGCAAAGCGACTTCGGTCTAGTTCATTGTCCAGTTAACTTGAGCGATCATTTAAAAGTTGGCATTGTAAATAAAACAACTTTTGGGGCTGGCACTGTGGCTCAGCGGGTTAAAGCCCTGGCCTGCAGCACCAGCATCCCATATGGGCACTGGTTCTAGTCCCAGCTGCTCCTCTTCCGATCCAGCTCTCTGCTATGGCACAGCTCCAGCCATATTAGCCATCTGGGGCGTGAACTAGTGGATGGAGGACCCCTCTCTCTGTCTCTACCTGTCTAATTCTTTCAAATAAATAAAATAAATCTCTAAAAAAAAAAAAATAAAACAACTTTCAGAAAGTTTTCTGAAGTAGAACTGAGAAAATACCATCTTCATTCATGAGTTGGAACCTGGAAAGAGGCTTCCTGAAGTGAATGTTCTGGGTGGGGCTACAGGGATGTCTTCAGCCAGTAGTCAGTACACAGATATCGATCAGTCTGTCCACAGCAGGACTTGTTCTGGTTTTGAATCTTCTCAGCTCTGAAAATCCTGCCTAGAAGACTCGGTTACTACCTACCTGGTATCTGCTTTTTTGGGGGAAGAGAAACCTAACTAGACAGTTTATTAGCTTTTCAATTAAAAGACACTTAAGTGGTATGCCATTTTTTATAGTCAGTGTTCCCATATGGGGAACAGTCTTCATGATACACGCATGTCATAAATAACCTTGAACATTAAAATACGTGGTAAAACCCAGAAAACGTCCATTATGAATGTGAGATACTTCCAGTAAAAGTTATAATACAAAAAATAAAATAATAAAATAAAATAAAAGGTAGGCCCCAGTGTGAGGTGATTAGGCCCCTGGAGAGGATTCATGCAGTTTGCAGGGGCCCCAGCTAGCCCTGCAACAGTGTGCTTTTATAAAGCAAGGCACCCCACATACTCCGCCTCT